GATACCAATTATCTAATAAATGTGGCCCACGCGGCTCTCCAGCCCTATTTTCACTAACTGCGCATTTAAGTCTAGGACGTTAACTTTCTTAAAAAAATTCTTCTTGCCATCGTCGCGGAAATCGCCACAGGACTGAGAAAAAAAAGAGGAACGTTGTTTGAAATAAGAGCCCTACGAATGATGTCGTGAATGTGATGTCAGGGAATCGACACATTTTTAATTTAATTTACGGTTAAATTTCTTACACTTTAGTACCCTTACAAACATTTCAAAATTAATAAATGAGTTGCGAGTAATTTTATTTATTGTATATACATTGGGGCTGACTGACTAGCTTCGTTCTGACATTTAACTAATTCACTGATATAACTCTTATTTATATAACAATGTAATGTTCTACATTTAGCTTGATTAACCGTAGTATGTTCGTTGTGTACACAAGTACTACAACTACTGGCAGAAAATCGGCTATAATATTAAGATAATTTTTTTGCCCTGTTACTTACAGGGCAAAAAATTAAGATCATCAAGAACATCTGTCCATTTTTGCCACACTTAGATTTTTTGCTATTGACGATGTGATGTTCGCGGTCACTTTGAAGGGAAAGCCAAGTTGGTTTCTAATTTTCTTGATTTTTTTTTAAGTGAGAAGATGGCAAGCGAGCTGGCGGTACACCTGATGGTACCTTAGTGATAACCGCCGCATTTGGAACACCCGTATGGTTGCAGATGTGTTGCCACCTTTTAATAAAGTGGGCCTCAGCTACCTCACTGACCAGACGAAACGCAGAACTATAATACTTCTTCTTCACGCCGGCATTCTGCGAGGTCGTGGTACTTCCCCGGACGGACCTGCCGATTGGGCAGGTTCGGAACGAGAAACCAGCGTGGACTGTTGCGTGTTCCTACCACAGGATGCTCTTAGTAGAGTGAGACAGAATATTATTTTCGTATTGCCAGACGTGTTTTACCTTAAGATTTTTCTCTTTCCTTTTCGTTCTGTGTATTTTTTCCGTTTAAATTTTAAATTGGATCCAAACTTTGAGCCACGTCAAACCCATAATAACGCGCAACAGTTGATGAGGATGAAAAATTCTAAGATGTAGATGACATCGATTGGGGGCGGTAATCACTTCACATCCGGTTAACCGTATGTCCGTTTGCCACTTTTTCACATAAAAATGAAAATGAACACCAAAAAAAAAAGAATCTTGCAACCGATGCAGTCGATGCGGCAAAGAGCAAGTGAGAGCAAACCTGAATCGCGTATTCGTTAGGAAGTATTTGTTGAATAAATAAAATAGCATTTACCTTGGCCAAATAATCGTAAGGAAGAGCCGTTTACAGCACTTTTTCTGTGCAAAGCGAGAAACACGTAAATATGCTTGTAAACATGTTCTGATTTAGGACGACCAGTAATCTGGATAGCACTCTTCACGGCTATTTCTGTTCGACGTTGGAATTTTGTCGGATATTTATGTTGGAGATACGAATGAAAGTTGCGGTTCAATAGCGACGGCTCGGTTAGCGGTGTACTACTCGTATAAGCTTAGCCCTGTAGTAGCCGGGCTTATAGAAAAGAGTTGAGGTATCATTTATGGCGTTCGAGGTGGGGACAAGGATTCAAGTGAAGTCAACAGTCACAGAGGGAAGCGGGCGGTGTGTTCCCGTATTGGCAAAGCGGAAGTTGCGGCCTCTCACTCCCTCGATAAGTTAAGTACAGTGCGGAGGGGCACTGGTGCGTTCCGCTGAAAATCCTCCTCCCCGAATCCTCGAAATGTACCAATGAAGCAGTTTTATTTTCCCCCCAGAAGAAGGTATCATTTAAAGATTCAACCCTTATCCCCCTGATACAAAAAAACTAGTTAAAGCCTTAAAACCTTCCTCGGTCCTGAGCCCAGATCAAATTATAGTTCTCTGTTGCTCTGTTTCTGGTGCTCTGATGTCTATTAAAGCAGTTTGTCCATAGACTTAATGCCACATTTGTCTCATTTTCCTAACCCTTGCATTTTATTTTTATTTGTGCTTTGGTATATCTTTTATTGGTGTTGTAAATAAATAAATTTCGGTCTTTCTTTTTCAATGTGCGCAAATAAAAATTCTCAGCGGAAACAAATACGTTAGCAACCCATACTGAGGATTTTCTTATCAGAAATTGTAAATTTTAAATGTAATGTAAATATTAAATGTAAATGTATAAAACCCATGTTGTGTTTCTTTATGGGAATGCTTTGATTTCTGAAACTCTAGGAATATAATTGATCTTCACTAACTTTTACTTATGAATTATACGATTTTTAAATGCTTTGTAACTTTTCCAAATTATCGAGGCATGTTGTTGAAGGGCTTAGTTTGGCAAATCTTGTATATAACAATGGTTTTATTTGCTTATTTTAGTATTATTTAATATATTATTATTTATCTTATATATAAAAATGGATTGCTGTTCGTTAGTCTCGCTAAAACTCGAGAACGGCTGGACCGATTTGGCTAATTTTGGTTTTGAAATATTTGTGGCAGTCCAGGGAAGGTTTAAACGATGAGAAATTATGGGAAAATTGCATAGAAAATCGAAATAACAACAATTTTATCTTCCCATACAAACTGTACCTGTCAAACTGTCAACTATGTCTGTCAAACACTTCCAAATTCCCTTGAAATAATTTATATGGCAAAACAACGTTGGCCGAGTCAGCTAGTCATCAATAAGAATGGTATTTAAGTTATAGATTTCGGAGATTTTTCAGGAGCCTAGTGGTCGTTTGTGCGTACAGTATATGCATAACAATATACAGTTTATGCGCTTATGTGTGCGTTTATATACTTCCGGCACATACACTCAGCCGCTGACTTAATTTACCGACAATAGAGCGTAAAATCAATTATTTTCGTAAAAGTTTTACAGCATAGTTCTATTTTTGAATTATGCATTGATTTTGTTTTGTAGACTGTAGTATGTATTAATATAATTTGTATTTCTTTAAAATTTTGTTAAATTTAGATTTTTTTGCAGTGTGCAACCTTTTTTGATAAATAGATTTATTTCCTTTCTTTTTTCATATACATAATTATGCAGTTGTAGATGAAAAGCTGCCATGGTATGTAGGTCGATTTTGCCTAAAAAGCAAATTATCCAGTTGTGTTTCACTATACAGTATTCATCACATTAATTAAACTACTGGTAAACAAATTAATAATATTGTTGGTAATGTTATGAACGCTAGCAAAATTGTTATTTTCTTGGAGCAATATAATGTTACCTGAGTTACCCTTTGATCTTTAATAAGCTTTTGAAATAGTAAGTTTTGAAGATTGTGTCTATATTAATTTTATAAAAAATCTATCCTTGGAATAAAATATATAAGCAGTGTCATAGAGTATATTCTGTACGAGTATGGTATATGAATATGGTCATATTCGTAAGCCCCATAGGTCTTTTCTTTTTTTTATTTAAGATTTTAATAGTTTTAATAACATTTTCGGACCTATGTACAAAAACTATAAACCTGTAATAGCGATATTAACGTTTTTATCAAGATAAGTTGCTCCTCTTTGAGAGCGTGTTCCAAATGTTAAGTAGTTTCAAAACACATATTATTTTTGTTATGTGAGAAGGTGGCGAGCGAGTTAGTGGTTCACCTAATGTTAACCGTTAAATTATACTATATTTGCGGATTAATCGCATTTTTCGATCCTTTTTCCAGCGTTCATGGTCACGAGACAGACTGAGGTGTTGAACGTGTGAATATTACAGTTAATCTGGGTCTGGATTAATTTACTAATGTGTAATCGCGTAAATAATAGAAACTGATGTTAAATGATACCTGCCGCTCATCTTCCGCAATAAATAAATATATGAGCATGTTCATGCCTACTACTAATATATGACATAAATAAGTTATATAAGTCCCCAGGCAGATACCATATTGTTTGCTTCTAAAGTTCCCAATAAAGTGATTTTAGCTGATGTTTTTTCTTATCAAATAATGCGTTGTTACTCGTACATACATTTACTTTGAACGAAATATTACCGTTTGTAAGTAAATATTAATACTGTTTTGTTTCCAATAAACATTTCCAATAACAGTATACAGATGAGAGAGTTCATGTTTTATGTTAATTTTCAACAAACGATAAACTGGCATTTATATTACAATTTTCTAACACTGATTGCCATGTCGTGTTCAGAAAGGAATAAGGGGGAGACTTCGTTTAGTGAACGTGTACTTTAATAATACTGACCTCTTTTACAACAGCCTTGAGTAAATTTAATGCGTGACTTTAACGAGAGACCAGTTGTTAGGACGTACTGTATTTGTTTACCTTTACTTTAATCACGGAATTGATTTTGGGGTTTAGAAACAAAATTACGCTGCAATCAGCCAGTTGAATGGGTTGAGATCATGACTCAGATGGGACGTTCTATTTTTCTATGAACTTCTTCCTGACACTTCGCCATCGCGTCTATAACAGTATATTTTTCTTATTTTTCTTTTAAAACATTACTCTTACTTTAGGATATCATTATCTTGTGTTGTAAGGACGTTTTACAAACATAAATTTCACGCGGACAACCACCCAGATGCGAAACAACTATTTGTGGGTCACACAAATAGGTGACCCGTGTGGGAATCGAACACAGGACCCCTGACGCCGAAGCCAATACCTTGACAACTGCGCCACGGAGTTATCAAACTTTCTATTCTATTGTTACAGATCGAGTGTCCAGCTAAGAATTCAAGTTTCGAAGGAAGCGGCAATAGATAAAAGGAACGATGAGTTCAAGAATAACAGAGTTTATAATTATTATAAACCTTTTAATAATTAAAGTTGATTTAAGTTATGTGATAAAAGACGATACCGAAAAGAATTTACTATTTCGTGAGACGCATCCTGCTACATTGAACACAGAAGAAGAAAGCGATATAAACATTTTGACAAAAAGAGTTGAAAGAGCTTTTGAAAGTGAAAAATCAAGCTCGACTAACGCAGTTGACTCGATGAAAGAATCAAGTCAGATCATGAGGGAGGCGAACACAACCGAAGAGCCATGCGTGGGATCCCCAGAATTTTGTAACTTAACTAGAGATGAATATGTGACGATGCTAAAGGAATACATATATCCACAGACATACGAATGGGTATTGATCGGCACGCACACTGTCGTGTTCATCGTTGGATTGGTTGGAAATGCTCTAGTGTGCATAGCCGTATACAGGAATCACACGATGAGAACTGTTACCAACTATTTCATCGTGAACCTCGCTGTGGCGGATTTCATGGTGATACTCTTCTGTCTGCCCGCAACCGTCCTATGGGACGTCACCGAGACCTGGTTTCTAGGCGATTCTCTCTGCAAAATACTTCTCTACTTTCAAGTAAGTGTGTCAACTCTATTCCGTCTGTCCGTATTTTTCTATTATCTATTGTGAACACGTATCTTATACAATTTTCTTTTTTTATGGAAGAAAGTATCAAGCGCGCTGGTGGTTCACTTGATATTAAGTGATAACCACCGCCCACGGACATGTGAAACAACCATAGGATTGCAGATATGTTTTTACTTTAGTGGGCCCCGGATACCTCACTCTCTAGACGAAACGCAGGAGCGTAAAACTTTCACTTTACGCCGGTCTTCTGTGAGGTCGTGGTACTTCTCCGGACGGACCTGCCCATTCGTGCAACAGTGAAGACATTGCAAAGCCCTACCACAGTCAAAGATTAGTGGTGTTTTTTGCAAAAATTAATAAAGTTTTCGGCTGTTCACACATGAGAAATTGAAAAATACATGCAATAATTATTTTATTAGAATGACTCTATTATGATATTCCAATTCTATACAAAGAATGGTGCGCGAACGCTTAGAAGATGAACACAAATCAACGTTTGCATATAAGATTTTTCTAACAATAGTTACTTTGATCCAAGCACGATATTTTGATGCGCATGAAATATTCGATAAATATTCAAACAGCTGTAAAACTTCATTCTTTTAAAATTTAGGCTAGATGACTGGTTGACTAAGAATTTCGGATATTTTCAAAACTCTAAGATTTGTTAGTAAATCCCCGCACAGTCGGTGAATTATTTTAGTTTAGCGAACCAAAATAAACGCATATAAACAAAGTTAATGGTGATCTATAATTTGTTTATCTTCCGTCTATGTGTCTGTAGGCAATGAACCGTGTTTGCGCTTAGTTTAATATGATCGGGTAAACAAATTACTTTCATCAACACGCGATATTTACACGTTATCGTATTATTACTTATATAATTGACGTGTTAATCTTTAATTCCTCAACGGCATTATTGACACGGGACAACTATTTGTGTGACCCAGAGATAGTTGATTCGCATCTGGGTGTTTGTCCGTGTGAAATTTATGTTTGTAAAACGTCCTTACAACCTTGGATAATGTTATCCTAAAGTAAGGACATTGTTTTTTTTAAAAAAAAGAAAAAAATGTCATGGAATTGGATGGCACATAATTAAAGTCTTACCTTTCTATGGGAAACAATGCAAGCATTTTTTAAAAATCTTTTTAACAGTTTTTTACAATAAATATGCAAAATGTAAAGCAGATTTTTTAAAAAAAAACCCGCCACTAAAACTTATTGGAATCTCGTGTAAACACTTTACTCAGCGTAACCACAGCTTAATAATTACCTGCGAAAAAATATAAATGTTTTATAAGCAGAAACAAAACGCTTTCATTATGTTGAAGTGGTATGAGAAATATCATATTCATAAATAACCACTCATAGTGTTCCAAAATTAATTTTTCTCTTGCGCGTATCTTACGTTATTCAAGTACCTATAATACTTAAAATATTACCACTTACTGTCTGGCTTGCGATAGATTTGTCTGCTCCGGTTGCTAAATCTCATGAAGTTGAAATTACGACGGTGAGGGAGCGGTTAAATATAAACTTTGATAATGATGTTTAAAATAATTATGTCGACAATGCTTGTTCAATTATAATGGCTTTTGTAACATTGCCTTTATTGTAAGATAACCACATAATGTGTTGTTACAACGATTTACATAAATACATTTCACGTGGACAAACAGCTAGATTCGAAACATTTAGACGCGAGAAATAATTTTATTTTACAACAAGTTGTCCCTCCTGGAATCGAACCCACGGCCCCCGGTACTGAAGGCAACCTTGGCAACTCCGCCACGTAGTCATCAAGCTTGTCTTACCCTTCATAAATCCTTTTAGTTACATTTAACTAGGTTGTTGTTTGACTTTAACTAGCAAGTGTAATTGTTTAAGGGGCATTTGCCTTTTCCAGTCTGTTTCAGTGACGGTGTCTGTTTTAACGCTTACGTTCATATCGCTCGACCGCTGGTATGCGATCTGCTTCCCATTGGAGTTCAAATCCACGACTAGCCGCGCGAAGACCGCGATTCTCATCATTTGGGCTATCTCACTCATTTTCAGTAAGTATCTAAAAATGTAATCATTAATTTGTATAGATAGAGTATTATATAACAGGCTCGTAGATGATCGTGGCGATAATGCATTTACATCAGATGAATCAGTTGCTAGAAAACTTTTCACACAAAAATATCATCACCTTCTCGATAACTTTTCAGATAACAAATATCAAGTCTCATTTACCTTGCTTAGGTAGTTACAGCACGCGGTTAGTATCTATCTAAGTCCAACCTAGACAGACAGACTACCCGCGTTTTTACAAACTTATTCGGTCCTAATCATGAGTGGTTAAGAAAATTTTCCTGTACTTCGTCATGATTGTGAGACATTGTTTTTTTAATATAATCCGAAAAAAAAAAGGAAACGTAAAAGCTGGGATTTGAACCCTGCATCTTCGATGGATAAGTCAAGTTATCATGGTGGAGAAAATTTCGTGAAAGGATCCATTATAAATTGAGATGTGCAGAAACTTATGACCAACCTTAACAGACCTCAATACTAACAGCTGTACACATCGCTCAAAACAAAACGAAGATTGGTTTCGGCGAATTCCCTCAATGAAGGTTAAACATTGAATGCTTTTCGATTTATTGGATTCAGTAAAGGACGAAATTCGTCGCGTCCTTGGCACGGACTCTCGTAAATTGGAGCTTCCGAAATGTCCCTTTTGGGTAATCAAAGTTGGCTGGCAACAAGGATGCAGGGATCTTGGGCGGGGAACATTTTTTCATATGACTAACTGGCGAGATCTTAATTACCAGGCTAGTTGATGAGATAAATACAGTTGGTGGGTGTTAATTACGTTTGCTGCTTTTAATTCAACGAACTAGTTTAGTAGAAACCGAATTATCCTTAAAATAGGAACGATTTTATATGGCGGGTAGAATCCATAGTAAGGTTACAATTTAATTACGAGTATAAAACGTCGATATACATTGAACGAATACACACACATTTACACATATTAACATATACGAGTATATGTATATTTCGAAGATATAAAAAGTCTGTCAATCCGCAGTGGGTCCGCGTGGTGGACTATGCCCTGATAACCTCTGTACAGAGGAGGCCTTTTCCCACCCGTGGGACATGTATAGGCTGTTACTTTTTTTTGGTTTTTATTATTGCTAATTTAAGTTTAATTTATATGTTGTTTTAATTTAATTTAATCTATTTAATCTATTCTATTTTATTTTAAATTTTCCAATTGTATTAAATATCACATTATTTTTTTATTATTTATTTTATTACTATGTAAGTCACTTATTGTTTTGTTACTTTAATTTAAAGTAAATACATAAGCATTTGAATTCATTATATAATGAAGAGGAAAAAGAAGTAATTAATACAATCCTCAAAGTTGTACTTCAACATAATTTTAGTTAGCAAATGATATACGACTTTCTTTTGTTCTTGTGTATTATTTGAGTACCGAAAACACAGGAGAGTGGTAGTGTAGCTACTGTAGATAATTACTTTTTACTTCACATTTTTTCGTAATCTTCAAAATTGTAGAGTTAAATAAATATTTATTAAATATTTAATATCTTATTACTATTTTAACATGATACGCTCATTTGAGTATTGGAATGAGATCTTCTAGAAAAACAAAAATCTCGTCTATTTCGTGGACCTGCTTTTCGCAGTAATTTACTTACTTTAATATTGACTTGCACAACCAAATAAAAGCGAGGAAACCTGCATATCTTCGCAACAATAAAAAAAATGTTTCGAAGATATGGGAAGTCCACCAATCCGCAGGGGGGCCGCGTGGTGGACTATGCCCTGATAACCTCTGTACAGAGGAGGCCTTTTCCCACCCGTGGGACATGTATAGGCTGTTACTTTTTTTTGGTTTTTATTATTGCTAATTTAAGTTTAATTTATATGTTGTTTTAATTTAATTTAATCTATTTAATCTATTCTATTTTATTTTAAATTTTCCAATTGTATTAAATATCACATTATTTTTATTATTTATTTTATTACTATGTAAGTCACTTATTGTTTTGTTACTTTAATTTAAAGTAAATACATAAGCATTTGAATTCATTATATAATGAAGAGGAAAAAGAAGTAATTAATACAATCCTCAAAGTTGTACTTCAACATAATTTTAGTTAGCAAATGATATACGACTTTCTTTTGTTCTTGTGTATTATTTGAGTACCGAAAACACAGGAGAGTGGTAGTGTAGCTACTGTAGATAATTACTTTTTACTTCACATTTTTTCGTAATCTTCAAAATTGTAGAGTTAAATAAATATTTATTAAATATTTAATATCTTATTACTATTTTAACATGATACGCTCATTTGAGTATTGGAATGAGATCTTCTAGAAAAACAAAAATCTCGTCTATTTCGTGGACCTGCTTTTCGCAGTAATTTACTTACTTTAATATTGACTTGCACAACCAAATAAAAGCGAGGAAACCTGCATATCTTCGCAACAATAAAAAAAATGTTTCGAAGATATGGGAAGTCCACCAATCCGCAGGGGGGCCGCGTGGTGGACTATGCCCTCTGTACAGAGGAGGCCTTATAATAATAATACATAAGTATTTTAACCATTACAAGCTTGCCTTTTCTCCACCAGACACGCCGGAGCTGGTGGTGTTAACTACAGTGAAGACGGTACCGCTGCGTTTCGAGCTGGAATACCTGGTTCAGTGCATGGCTATCTGGTCATCCACCAGCGACCTCGTCTGGCACATAGTCAAGGTTCTGTTTATTTACACGTAAGTACGATTTTAGTTGTCGAACGCGTCGATAAGCTAATCGGAATTTATCGGAGGAAATTTCTGGAGCAAATCCGGCGTTGATGGATCCAGATGGATCCAGGCAGAATATTTTGTTTGTATACAAGCAGGTCTTATAGTCGTTACGAGAACGCTCTTTTATTTTATCATAAAAGAATCCATCTCTCCTATTTGTTTATTGTTTATTTGTTTGTGTAAATGATTTTACTACTTAACTAATTTAACTGCTAAACTAATTCAGAGAAGTTTTTACTTACCCAAGCAATATTCGCCCCGGCTGTACGATGATAATATTTTCATGTGATTATTTTGTTTTAGTTGTTTTTCGTTTTTGTGTTTTGTTTAGTTTATCGTCTGGCATTTGTCTAACTCTTTCGAAATTCTGCTGCTTTATTTAGACTTTTTACTAATTAGTGAAAGGTATTTAAAATATATATAAAAACGTTAAAAATTGTTATCATCTCTAAAATAAAAACAGCCTATATATGTCCCACTGCCGAGCTAATACCATCTGTGTAGAATGGGTATTAGGGCATAGTCCACAATAATAATCATCATTTATTTTAAGTCACTAAAACTCATATACATTTTCATTTAAACTTACGCTTTCATATTAAAAAGTAAACTAGAAGTCACATTAATATTATTTCAATTACATAAAATATATTGGCGCACTTCAAATATGTAGGTTTCGTCACGATGTTTCCCTTTACCACTGAGCACTTAAAATAAACAAATTCATTGGTTCCGGCACCAGGGATCGAACCCAGGTTAATCGAGTGTATTTAACTATAAGCCAGCGCTCGGGCAATGAGCTATCACGGCTCTAGAGTTAGTAGAAAGTTGTAAATATCCCGTGTGGAATTCGACCCTGCGCTCGACCGGCATTAAAACTTTTTACTGAATAAACGGCCGAACTGAACAAACTTTTAACTGCGTCGATTCAAGCTTTATTAAACCTTAAAACTTGAGTTAACATCCAGATGGGATGGAGTTTTAAATTAATATTTTTAGCGCAGATTTGTCGCCATCTTTTATACGACGAAACAAGAGGCAAAAGCGGATCCTGTGTCGTTTATAGCTTATGCAATAAAAGTTCAAAAAGTAATTTTAAGCTCTGTAATATATTTCCAAATACCTGTCACGTAAACTTTTTACGCATTGCAATAAATTAACATTCATTCAGATGTGCGCGATAGTGTATTTTTTTAAACATTGCCGTTACTTTAGAATAACATTATCATGTGTTTTATTTATTTATTTATTAGGTCTGCCAGTAGATGTTACATTAAAAACAATATTACATGAAACATGAATTAATGTTACAACTAAATGTACATCTAATTAAGAGGCAAACACAGCATGCTTAAAAATTTAAACATTAATTTAAAAAAAATTAATAACAGTTAAACGAAAAGTGTGAACAAAATATTGTTACTTATTTCTAACTTATTACTAAATAAATTAAGATTAAAAAAAAAACACGTGTTGTAAGCACGTTATACAAACATACATTTCACGTGGACAAATACCCAGATGCGAAACAACTATCTGTGGGTCACACAAATAGTTGTCCCGTGTCGGGATCGAACCCACGACCCACGACTTGAAAGCAAATACCGCGGCAGCTGCGCAACGGAGTCATTTTAGATTAAACTATAGACTGGCTGGAATCAGACCGATATACATTCTTCGTGAATGTCTTAGCTTTCAAAAATGGACAGTCAATATAGTCCTGAGTTTTATTTCAGTAAAAAAAATTCAAAACTAAAATCCTACGTCCGTATTTTTTTTTAATTTTGGCGGGGGAGGTCATAGTAATGACTTCTCGCTAGGATTCCAATCCATTGCAGCGTATGTGACGGGGACTCCCTGCGGAGCGTATGATCAAATTCATCTCGACATGTGACGCTTTATCCGACGAACTAAGGTCAATTCTATAATAGATTCTCGTTAAATATGATCCTGGGCTGAAAAACTAAATAAAGAAATCTATTTAAGGCTCACTGTTAATTAACGTTATTCTATAAAATTTCTCTAGAATAAAATCAATATAGGGGTTATTATATTTTTAAATATAATAACCCCTATATGTTTTAGTATATTTTGATAAATGAAATATGACCAAGGCCTACACAGGAATCTTAATCTGTTCTTGCCTGTATGCTGTCTGTAGCTGGCTTTACACTTATTTGTCATAAATTTTACATTCAAAAAAATATGCAGAGTTTGTGAAGTTATTATTTGAGACTCAGCTTTACACTGTTTATAAGATAAATATAAATTAATAAATATAAATTAATAAATATAAATTAAACCAATAATTTGTTACTTTGTTAAATTCACATAAAATGTACCAATCTGTAGGTGGTTTAAAATTAAAGTAGAGTTATCTTTTTTTGTGTAAAAGCTTCTTCTCGCTTCCTTATTTAACACGATTTTTGGATCATTATCTCTATTTTAACTTTCAACCATTTCGCCATATTGGCACAGGATACCTCTGCTGCTGATGACAATAGCGTACCACCAAATCGTGAGGGTGCTGTGGCGGTCGGACAACATTCCAGGGCAAGCGGAGACTATCAAACTAGCATCCGCTGAACAAAGTAAGTGTTGCATTTGAAAATCTCATCTACTTAGTCTCACATTATCAGTGTATCTTCTACTTTACCTTGAGCTGTATCAGCTTTAACTCGTTAAATAATATCTACTGTTTAATAAAGCTCATGTTCAATTTCTTGTATTTACGCGATTACACATTATAAATGAAACTAATTTTACGGGTTTATCGCGTTTATTTTTAATTTTAATTCCCGACGTTTCGAACCCTTTACAGCGTTCATGGTCACGGGACAGACTGAGGTGTTAGACGTCTGATTGTCATAGTTAACACGGGCTACCGTCAGTTTTTGTATTATTAATTTTGTGTCCGATCTATGCAGAGGGAGCTAATTGTATCTTGTCTTGCAGCAGTGGTTCGTTTGGGCCTAGATTAAAATTTTATCTATTGAAATTAGGGTGTTTTTTAATTTCAATAGCATCATCTTCAATTTTTTTTATCCCATCACTATACAATTTCTATATGATTTTGAGTTCCCTTATATATCACCGGAGCCCAAGGTTCAATACTAATGAAATTATCATGACCACATGTGAGCTAAATCAGATCCAATGAAAAAATATTTTTTAAAATCGGGCACGGACGGAGGGAGTTCTAAGGTAACAAACATAATAAAACCATCTAATTTAGAGCCTCCTCCTTTTTTGATTACGGTTGAAAAACAATTTACAACATTTAGTAGTGACATCAGAACATCAAACATCTTGTCCACCCAATGACCACGTATATAGCACAATATTTAACGGGAATTATGATCTAAAATGGACCGCAAACCCATAAATTATAAAGCCCATAAATTATTTTCAGTACATATAGTATTAAACGCGTCGTATTAAATTTATTATAGCAGCCGTATTTCTGTTATTAGAAATTGTGTTGATTTAGTTACATTATGTATCTCATTAAAAATAATTAATGTAACTATTTTCCATTTTTATCTTTGCGTCTTATTAAAATGATTGAGTGTGTGTCAAGGAAAGATTGGTAAAGGTTTTGATTAGCTAGTGCGGTCACCACTTCTTCTAAAGGGGTGATTTGGATAGAGGTTTGCTTAACATAAAATATTACATAACCTAAAGTAAGTTTTTACTTATAACCATGTCTTTTTTTGGTATCGTGGTGAAAATCTTCAAAAGATCGCCTTTCATGTAATGAAGGGGTATCTAAAACCTCGGTGGCCACTGTACGTTTGGATGGACTGCGGGATCTCCTGTTTTTTTTTTGGTATCGGGGGGGAAATATTCGTAAGATACCCTATGACAGGGTTATGTGGGGTTCTTACCCACTAAAACCCCCTCGGTGGCCACCTTCTGTACGTTTGGATGGACTCCGGGATCTCCTACGGAACGCATCGGTGTCCCTGGGTACTGCGCCTCGGAGAAGAGTAAACCTTCCCCGATTTCCTTCCATCTTGCAACTCAAGACCACTTCCTGCTGCAGCCGATTGTCCCATTCGCCTTTTACGACAGGCAGGAGATTCCTTAGTCCTATTCTATGAGCCCGGGACTACAGGGCTGGACTTATTAACATGTCTACTTCTATGTCCTTAACCATTTCAAAACTTTAGAAAGCAAATTTCGCTATCTAATATAAGCGTAGATTCAAAGTCAAAATCCGTTATTTTCAACCGTATACTAAAAGAAATTTAAATTTATCTACATTTTCTATTAATGTCAGCTCACAACCACTATTAACTACATATCAATATTTTTAAAACGAGCTGAAATAAGAATCGTAATATAAAAAAAAAACGTTCTGTCTTAAATAAAATGTTACCTGACATGAATATTTGTTCGTATTTTAATATAAAGGGCCATGGCTCATCATATTAAACATCCGGCTTCTTTTTCATATTTTTGTCCTCTTTCTTATCGATTCTATAAATATTTTATTAATTAAATTCCAGCTCACTAACTTGTTTCTGTAGCGTCCTTTCTTTCGAACAAACGCAAATAAATATAAACAATGTATTATGTTTCGCTTATTCGTATATAGTCCCATGTTTTTGCGCTTCACACACTCTCTGTCTCTCCTTCATCATTTTCAGCATACTGTGATAGTAGTCTGTCTGTTTAAAGCGGTCTTTCTCGCTATATTATGAAATTTAGTGCAGTTGGAGATCCTCAGCTGTTTTGACCATCTATTATTACGTGGTCGAAGTACTTCTCTTTTACAGACTAGCGAAAGATAAAAAACGTGTAGAATACAAATAATAAATATTAAGCTCGATCGAGCGATATAAAATTTTATGTTGACAGAGGTACATCTACATAAACTTAAAAAAAATCCTACGATGTAATTTTTTATTTCTGACGTTACCAAAAGATCTGGCGGTTCACCTGATGTTAAGTGATAATCCGCCACCCATGGACCTTTTGCAACACCAGTAGCATTGCAAATGCGTTGCCACCTATTAATAAAGTGGGCTCTAAATTTATTCTTTATTTATTCTTTATTGTAAACAGAGTATAATTGAAAACAAAGTTAAAGAAAAAAAAAGTAAAATGATTTTTATGTATTATGTATAATATGTAGACTCTTTTTCTTGCTAGATGGCCACATGTCACAAGGAGAAACGAAGACCGTCCAAGTATCTCGTCTTGTGGTACTTCCTTGCTCGAACCTACTCGGTTGTGTAATAGTAGAAGCATCTACATCGACCAATACCATAATCGGGAGTTTTATCATCTATATCCTTACTAATATTATAAACTCGATAGTATGGATGGATGTTTTTTACTCTTTCACGCAAATATTACTGAATCGATTTTAATGAAACTTTACAATAATATACTTATACATCATGATAAAACATAGGCTATAATTTATATACATATTTTTACGCATATCTGTCTTTCTGTCTGAATGTTACGCCTTCAGCCTATTCTACGCAGACGTATTCGCGGGCAGCAGCTAGTCTCAAATATTTGTGGTTACACGCGAGGAACGTATTTGCTTTATGTTCATCATTAATTATTTGTTAGAGTATATCCAACTAGTTAATTTAGAGAACAAGTCTATATAAATGATTGGCTTCTTGTCTAATTATATCGTCTATATGAACCTCTAGTTAAATTAAATTATTCGAACCATATTACCTCCGAAGCTATATCTTATTTTCTATAATTAACGTTGATTGGTTATCGTTTAAATGTCTCCGAAAACTCATACACTATCTCTTTAATACATACTGTAGTAAAACACTGAAATAAAATTGATTACATTAAATATTCTTTCAGTAAATATAAAGTGAACTCGATTCCTAGAAGTCTGTATGTATTTACGAACTGATATGTGCCTCTAAGAATTAAAACGTCGCCTGTTATATGCGTTTGACTGCGATAAAAAATATGTGAAATCAAACCGAGGAAGGTGCGACTGAGTTCAGTGAATGTGATGCGCAATTTATAAGCGGACGGCGATTTAGGTTAATTAAAAAACTAGAATGGAAATCAACAATCAAGCGATATATTTGAGATTTTGCATAAAAAAATTAACAATATTATGAATAATGTCGAAGGGCATATATTAAAAAAATAATATCTCAAAACTGGTAACATTTTCACTAAGGTCACTTTTTATTTAGTCGTTAATAGCACGATAAAGTTAATATGAGGACATATTAAGTTTATCGTGCTATTAACGGGAAAACCAGTATTCTATTGTCTTACTTTTCACACTCATTAAGGTTCGCCACATCTTGTAATTTAGACCACGTCAAAATAGAATATGGCATAATTTGAAATGCAAATTCTAGTGTAGTATGTAGATGAGTACAAATATACTGTATACTTTGAAATACAAATATCAACACCTTTGGTTGGCATTCAACTATCAATGAATATGCAGTAATGAGTACAAATATTTACTTTTTGATATGTATTTATAAGTATTTTGGTATTAAAAAACACTTACTGACGCAGGAAAACGGGAACCTATTGAACGGTTATTAAGAACTTCCCTTTTTTCATTGAGTTTGGTAATCATTTTTCGGCCTTCTTTATTATTTATCGCGTTTTGGGTGGGTTTTTTCAGTCGTAAAAACCCACCCAAAACGACTTACCACATGTGTCACATGTTCTGCTGACCATTCCTAGGTGAGATGAAGGCAGAATAATGATGATCTAACTTATATTAATGATGTAGTTAACTTATATGATGTAGGTCACTCATATTAATGATGTAGGTACTTACTGCTATAGTTTTCTGAGTAATGTAAGGTGACACGTTTGTGTTTTCCAGCTCAGCTGCGTTCCAGAAGGAAGGCAGCCAAGATGTTGGTCGCTGTGGTTGTGATGTTTGCAGTGTGCTACTTTCCTGTTCACCTGCTCTCAGTGCTAAGGTAATCTCAGTCTGAATAGTCGTGAATTTATTTTTTTATCAATAATTGAATACTAGGTATATATATGTTTAGTTAATGCCATTTGGATAAATCAGCGATATACTCTAATACGTCCTTTTCTAGAAAGAGTTTTATTACTTTTACAATTTTTTTTAATTATATGATAAGTTGAATAGCGTCAAGCAACGGCTTCGGCTGTTGCACAAATGCAACCGCCCGGGTAAGTACCACGATTTTACAGAAGACCGTCGTGATGTGGAAGTGTTATACTTCTGGCGTTATTTTTATATTTATTTATAACATTATTGTTGTACGTCTGGTGAGTGAGGTAGTCGAGGCGCACTTTATTAAAAGGTGGCAATGCATCTGCAACACTACGGGTGTTAAGTTGTAAGTTTATTTTGTACCGATAGATGGCGCTAATTGATAAAGCGAACATCGTTAGATCGCGATGTTGAGATTATTTGTATTTTAGTGACCTCCGACCATTGAACATACATTGGAGGAGGGATACATGTGTTATTTGTAATAGTTTATAAGTGCACAGTATTAAAGGGAGGTTGTGAAGCAATTCGGGTTTTTGTTCCTCAACCCCGATTCAAAGCCTCATCAACATCAAAGGTCTCTGGTTAAACAAAACGGGTGTTGCAAATGTCCATAGGCGGCGATTATCTCTTAACCTCAGGTGAACTGCCGTATCGCTTGCGATTATCTCTTAACCTCAGGTGAACTGCCGTATCGCTTGCGATTATCTCTTAACCTCAGGTGAACTGCCGTATCGCTTGCCACCATCTCACATAAAAAGTTGGATAATTAATGTTACAGGCTGCTTATTTTTAAATGCACATCATCATAGTAAAAGATTACCTTCAGCATTCGCCTTTATATATCACTGTATTTATTTTGTGTTACAAGATACCGTCTTGACGCTTAACGATATTTTTTATATTCGCTTAATGTTATTCCTAAATACATACAGAGTGTTAATTAATTCACCTCACTAAATCTATGTATGTTTAAACATGAAAGAAACATTCGATTCTAACTTCTATGTTGGATGTAATATCGAATGATGAGTTGCAACTCGTTCGTCGAACATCATACAAAGAGAAATGTAAAATAAATTTATCTGCAGCCGACACAATTAATTATCAACGCTCATTAATCTACTGTTACGAGATAAGGAAGTGCGAAACGGAATTGCGTATATAACAACAATGTTCGTTATTTATTATTCTGGAGAGCGAGTAGAAAGTTGCATTGTAAATGTTTCTGTTCAAATTTTATTCGAACTTTTAAAAATATTACTTAGGCGAAAGTACCAATGCCGACCTTCTTTCAACAGAGATTTTCAGCCACTGCTGATTGGGAGACATAGGATGTCTAAGAATTATTTTGATTAAATTATTTACAAGATATGTTAGCGTCACGATTATTTTCTTCACTACAGTGTGTTAAATGATTCGGGGAAGTTAAATCAGTAATAGAAATTATAATGAATAATATATTTGGTGAAAGATACCGAGATTTGAAATCAGATTACTCAAATACAATTCATTATTTATAATATGACTCCTCGGCGCGTAGACGGTCGTGGGTTCGATTCCCACACGGGACAATACCCCCACTGTGTTCCACAGTCACACAAATAGTTGTTTCGCATGTAGGTGCTTGCCCAGGGGAAATTTATATTTGTAAAACATCCTTACAACACAGGATAACGTTATCCTGAAGTAAAGGATTAAAGTTTTTTAAAGAAAAAAATAAGTTTATTAAAAGCTTAGCTACTAGAAACTTACACTAGATTAAGCGACTAAGTACTTTAGTCGATACACATGGTTTACGCACGGTAAGCTCTTACAAAACAAACAGGCACTTGTGTGAGTTTCGAATAACCGACAAAGCAGATACAGATTTCGACGAGAGATAAATGGGCACCCGCCTTATTAATGATTACATTCCTATACAACATAGATAAAAGTGTTGTTAACATTATTCTCGTTAGTTAATTTGGTGTGATACATATTTGATATTATATTTATACACCTCATTGCGGAACACGGAAATATATACGGGCATGCAAATTGGCAGACTTCATATATCTTTGAAGTATATTTTCTAGCCATTAATAGTCAAATATTCGTCCGTTTCGTCGTGTTTACTTTGACTGAGATCGGGATTCTAACTCCGGTTGCTCCAGTTGTTTAATTAAAAGCGACCGCCCGGACACTGAGCAAACTGAGGACACTTTTTTTAAATTGCCCTTACTTTAGGATAACATTATCCTGATTTATAAGGACGTGTTTCAAACATAAATTTCTCGTGGACCCAGATGCGAAACAACTATCTGTGGGTCACACAAATAGTTGTCCCGTGTGGGAATCAAACCCTCGACCCCCGCCGCCAACACCTTGGCAAATGCGCCACGTAGTCATAGCCACATCACTGCACTCGGTGTGTATGTGTTGGATTAATTTTTATCTTATTGGAATCATGGAGGCTGTCTATCCAAAGAGCTATCTAAAGCTTCATTGGTTATCTATCTTTTCATGTTATAGTCAATGCACATGAGATTTGACCTTTTATTTGTTCTACGATGATAACGTATATTACACAGTCAATTGCAAAGTCAACGTTAATTACTGACTCCCATTTTTCAAGTGTGTCACATACAACGTTTGCACATTTTCGAGCTACTGCATTCACCACTTAGCCGATGCGGTAGTATTCGAGTGCTGCATTAGTCAGTATCTGATAAAATCCAAAAATTCAACAGCCTATATATTTGACTATTGATAAATCAAATCAAATCATTTATCCATCGAAATTAGAAATATACATTTCATTTGTCGATAGTCATTTTTTAAATCTACCAATGTTTCGGTATGAGGTTCCACTAACGGAGAAGAAACAGGCGAAAGAAACTCCGTAGGTTTTTCCCCTTTTTGGCATTTTTTCTTAAGACATTAATACATATAAAATTTTATACATTTTGTTTAGAAATAGCTTGAATTAATGTAAATGTATGCTGTGTACATACTCCATAGCTGCTCTTAAAAATGGCATTAGTAGTTAAGTGAATAACTCCAGGTTCCAGTGGGGATTGGCGGTCCTTACACAGGCGAAGGTTACATTTCTGAATTTTTAATGTCACGTGTACGCGAAATTAGGACAAGGAATTTAAACTCTCATCTTAAAGGCTCGTCCGGGGAAGTACCACGACCTCAAAGTAGACCGGCGTGAAGTGGAAGTGTAGTTTTGCCTTTTTATTTTTTGTTCATTTTTATGCGTCTGGTGGGTGAGGTTATTTAGGTGAGTTACTGTATTAAAATGTGGAAATGCATCTGCAACGTGTGAACCAGCTCGCTTGTTATCTTCTCACATAAAAAAAAAAACAACTTGAAAGGCAAGCCCTCAGTTGGGGAGCTACCGTGACTCGTAAAAAAACATACTAAAGAATCAATCTTTAACAGCTTCTTTTAGCCACCTTCTTTCACATTTTAGTTGTGCTATTTGCTGTTGAAGCCTCAAGTGGGTGGGCTCCCGGCACATCAACACATTTTAGAGATTATCGCCTAAGATTTATCGCTGATGATATTTTTCTCAAAGGTTAACAACAGCGAGTGTCCAATCGTTTTACATACATATAGCTATGCGCGAAGTTTCTAAAACAATACGGGGCAACCAGTTGTAAAGTTAGTTGCTAGTAGATTATTCCACAAACAAGACGTATTTTTATTTGCTCCTTGACGGTCAAGCTAAAACACACCTTAACATCCCGAACAGCGCGTAAATGCAGACAGCATTCTTAGCTCTAGCCACTGAGCTAAACGGCTGATAGCCACAGCGACGAAGATCTTAACGCCTTCTTTCTACATTGTTATTTAGTATTTGAAGCAATGCTTGGCGCATCTATTGTTATATCCTTTCCAGCATACAAACAATTTCGAATATCGTTTTTAGTGCTAATCTCTGCACTCACGATTGAACATGCCGTGGTTTCGAATCCCACAGCGGCGACAATCTTTTCGTACTTTTTCTACATGTTTTCATGTTCAATCTTAAGTGCAGAGATTAGCACTATAAAAAACTTTAAAATTTAAGATGTAATTTAGTTTGTATCCAATACCGTAAATGTTTTCGTTCGTCAAACTCTATGGTCTATCATTCCATTTCAGGTACACATTGGATATGGAGCAAAACGACGTGATCACTTGCCTCGCCCTGCTCTCTCACGTAATGTGCTACGCGAATTCGGCTATCAACCCGTTGATTTACAACATCATGAGCGGTACGTCCATCGTTACAGTTTTAAAATTTTCCACATAATGACAAAGTAAAGAAAACATAAAAAAATTTTAGAAATAAAAATCGGTCAAGTGCGAGTCGGTCTCGCGCACGAAGGGTTCGGCAAAAAAATCATGTCTATATTTTAGTTTTGGTTGTAATAGCGGCAAGAGAAATAAGTCATCTGTGGAAATTTCCAATGTCTAACTATCACGGTTCGTGAAATGGCACACGGACAGACATACAGCGAAGTCTTAGTAATAGAGTCACGTTTTACTCTTTGGGTACGGGACCCCAAAAATGGAGTAAGAGATTTTCACTGCTGCGGGAATCAAACTTACGTCGTCGTCGATGTCTTGTGGCAATAAGCCCTTTAGCTTAGTGCTGTTCAGGAAGACGCGGGTTTGATTCCCACAGCAACAATTTATTGTCCATTTTTTCTACAAATTTTAATGTTTCGTCTAAAGTGCAGAGATTGAAACTTAATATAAATTTAAAGAACACATTTTAACAACAAAAAAGCCAGAAATGTTATCTGTGGCTCACACAAATAGGTACTTGTCCCATATGGGAATCGAAATCGAATAGCTGATAGGAACTGTGCCGTTTATGATTTAATATACATCGGCTATTATTAATATAATAAATCACAACATTAATATATCACGATACGAATGATAAAGCTGGTATCTAAAAAATCTTTTATTTATATCATTTCTGATTCAAAACCTGTTTCGATTCAATTCAAAAAATTCAGAAAAGAATCATCTGAAATACTCGGTCGTTGACATCGTTTGAATGTAGTAAAAGGCTTACGTATATGCGTATCTTTCTTAGCACCTATTGTGAGGTATTTACCATTAAAATTATTCTACCGTGAATTTAGATGAGTAGCTGCAAAAGGAATTAACGTAAGCGGGAACATCCCACCGCAACAGCGTCGGAGAAATAAATATGTTTCTAAGAATCCGTCATACAAATAAGAAATAATCTTTGTCGAATAAAAATTGCCCCGTTTTTCACTCATTCACCGATCTCGGCAATCGTTAGGAAGAATGTCGTATGTTCAGATTTACAATTTTCCTGAAGCGTTTTAAGTTTTCTCCCGTTTTTCTATGGTTCCTTATTTTTTTTTATAAAATGCAGTAAAGTAATCGCTAACAAACTACTTTCGGTACCATAGTGACTAGCACTATGCTATTAGTTTCGGCGTCGAGGGTAGTTAGCTCGATTACCACAAGTGTCAAGTATTTGTGTGACCCACAGACAAAGGTTCCAGACAAAAGTGGGTGTTTGTTCCCAAGACGGTGTGAGGAAGGCGGTGGTCGTTGCTAGACCTAGTCAATAACATTAACGACACATAATTTACATGTTGTTAATGGTAAATAACAGACGGGATAAGGCGGCGTCCATGAATTACGTGAGGTGTTTAAGGGAGGGAGGGGGTCGAATCTCATCTAATCTTACGTTGGAGAGAGGGGGGGTCTCGGCAAATATCACGCAATTTTTTTTCTGATTGAAACAAAAAAAAATTATACTGTTTTGGTCCATTTAGTCCAGATTGTACATCTTCATCATCATCATCATTTCAGCCTGTTTGAGTCCACTGCTGAACATAGGCCTCCCCCACAGACTGCCACGAAGTACGATCCTGAGCCACCTGCATCCATCGACTTCCCGCACATTTGCACAGGTCGTCACTCCATCTAGTGGGGGGTCGTCCTACACTGCGATGGCCAGTACGAGGCTGCCACTCGAGAACCTTTCTTCCCCAACGGTTATCGGATTGTACATGCTTAAGATTTAATCTTTAGCGTAATCGCGTAATACGATTAAGATCATTCACTAATTGGTTCGAAAGAAAATAATCTCCTGAGACCGTGCATGATTCTCCATGGATTGGATTAGAGTAGATATTCTTTTTTTAATCACAGTAGATACGGTTTAAGTATTCTATTGTTAAATTTTTATTACACTTATAATTAAATTCTCAGCAATATTGATTACTAGTCTTAACTAGTCGTAAATAAAAGAGCGAAGCAATTTTTTTTTCTTTTTACAATAACAATCCAACGCGTTTACGTAAGAAACCCACATTTTGAAAAATTTCACGTGAGATTGGGGGATGGGGAAGGAGGTTGAATAAAATCTCACGACATCTCACCAGGGGGGGGGGGGGGAGGGACAGAAAATAAAAAAAAACCTCACGTAATTTATGGACGCCCCCTAAGGGCAGGAGAAAGAAGAATCATATGTAATTATTTTTTCAGATTCGAAGATATATTTTTTTTTGTATTAAGTGGCTGTTTGTTACTAAATGAAAATAATTTTAGGGTTTATCGCGTTCATTTTTGATTTTATTTCCCTACGCTTCGAACCCCTTTTCACGTTCATGGTCGTGACATTGGACCTCTGAATATCATAGTAAGCCCATGTGTAACATAGATTTTGTCGCACATCCAGGTAAATACCGCAGGGAGTTCCGCCGGGCGTTCTGCTGCTCCGGCAAACGTTTACGGGACACCCTCACTGTCACCACTCGCACGCTATCCAGGAACAGGAAACAGGAGAGCCTTCAAGCCCTCGGCAGGAACCAGACTCAGTACTGTCATCCGACGGTCATCAGGAACGGATACGGGAATAACTACATCACTTAAATAGTTCCACTGTCAACCAGAGTTCACCCACCAGTTTCAGACCAAGTTAAAATTTCCACTGGGGAGCGGCCAAGCCCAATAGTCAAATATAGTAGAGTAAAGTGAAAGTTTATCTAGGAACAACTAGACATAGAATAGGAATTCGAAATTCATCAGAATTTCGATGATGATGAGTTAATAGACAGAATGACAGAAATTTTAATATAAAACTATTCGTTCGCCAAAGGATATGGAGTTACAGGAACTTTTTCCTGCCGTTAGTACTTTAAGCGAGATGGCAAGCGAATTGGCGTTTCACCTGATGTCAAGTGATAACCGTCGCCCATGGGCCCGTAAGGCTGCAGATACGTTGCCACATTTTAATAAAGTTAGTTGAGATTACCTCACTCACTATAAGACGGGCAGAAGTAAAACACTTCCACTTAACGCCGGTCTTTTGCGAGGTCGTGTCACTTGCCCGGACGGACCTGCCACTATTAATGATTACACATTTAAACTTAATGCGATACGTGTATACGATATCTAAAAAAGTCATGGTACCATCTATTAATCCTGTGATGTTTTTACTTTCTCCTTTTAAGTGAGAATTGTTATCTAATTGTATTCTAACAGCTGATCAGAATATGACAATGCCTTTATAATACCTACCGCACAAAATTGGATGTAAAATATTGAGAAAGTTTTGTGTAGTATTGAGACTCAATAATCAGTTGTCATGCTTTGCCTAGTAATTTAAGTAATTCTAGTTTTTACTGTGCTATAAATTACTGCTTTCGTTAAGGATAAGTTGTATTTATAAGTCATAGCTTTATATATGGTTGCAATTTAGTTCTGTGTTAGTTAACTTAGCGGTTGAACGTATACTCGGATAAATTTTTGGGACGAAGTTCCTCGTCGTGGTGTAAGGAAAAAGCGTTAAGCCCCTTCGACTCTCTCTGTCTCTTTCTAACACGTGACTGAGTAACGTGTAGTGGAGTTTTAATATTAGATAATTGCAATTTTATTACCATTCCAAGTTTTTAATTTGTTTAATTGGGTTTGTTAAACCAAGGAAAATAATCAGCGATAGGAACTTCGTTCCAACTGGGTGTCCCACTACACGTCTTTTTTGTAACAGTAGTACTAAGATTAAGAACTCCTTTATTTATTGTTTTAGTAAATAAAAATGTACAATGTTCACATAGTTCACGTCAAAATAGACGATAAGAATGTATATCGTAATTGTTATAAGTATGGACTATAATATTTTTAAATCGAGTAAAATAAATTATGCAAAATTAGGAGTCTTTTAATGATAAAAAAAACATGACAAAAAGTGATTTTTTTACTGTAGATTTTTTTTCCTTTGCATTCATGCTCGTCACTGTAAATATCAAAAAGATTTTAATGTTATCGGAAAAATGTTATTTGTCAAATAACTTATTTGATATAATTATAATATAGGTAATTTATTTGTCAAAATTTTATACAAGCGACATCTATAAAATAATTCTGAAACTGCAACGTTTATTCACAACACATGTTATTTCTCAAAGAAGTTTGCAATTCATAAAAGAGATGGCACGGATATAACTGGACGGAAATTATTTTTGCGCAGTGATATCCATTTAATTTAATTATTAATGTAATGAAATTCATAGCATTAAATTAGACTCACTAAGTCGATTCAAATTATTATAAAAATTCGCGCTTTATCTAAGCGCGAATTGTGAAGCAGGATATTAGTGTGCAGCTTGTGCAGTGTGGTTTCAGAAGTGAAATATTTTTAAAAATGAAAAGAAGTCTTCCTAAAGTAACCACATTTCATCATTAGACAATTAAAAGAATTACAAAAAATTCAAAAGGAATTGAAATTCTATTATATGCTCCATTTTCAGAAACTTGCCTACGCTACTCAATAACTTGGGAATTTAATAATATGGGCTTAATTTTCCTACCGAATGGATTTTAAAATTATATCAATGAAAATCTCACGGTAAACTTACATTTATTTGAATCTGTTAATTATGAAATATTTGACATATTAGTGTATCCAGAACGGTTACATTTAATTTTAATTAATAGTTGAGTCCTATTGTAAGATATTATATAATTTTCACTTATTAGGTAGACGGTGTTATGGTATCGTGTTTCGTCTAAGCTGGTCGTAAAGAACGCAAATATAAAGTCACATGGAATTATTAAGATAAATATGGTTGGTACATGCGTTAGTAGATAGGCAAATTCGCAAATGATTATTTCTCATTTTTCGTTTATAATTTGTAGAAAAATCGACGAAAAGCTTTTCGCCGCTGTCAGGATAAAAATCTGCATATTCCAGTGTCTGTGCCAATTCTACCGGGCCCATACGTTTCTACTTTTAGCATAGCACCATCTATCGAATACTTACTCAATCCAGCCGATAAATTTATCTTACATCGCCATCTTTGTCATCTAATAAACAAATGATTTGCAATAACAAATATGGAGATCAATAATTCAGGTAAAACTACTCTATCGACCAAATTGGACCAAATTACAAATGCTTACAAAATTTGATAAAAATCGGTTCAGTTGTTTCGGAGTTTGTCGCGAACATACATCGTGACACGAATTTTTTATATATATAGATTATATGCAACACTTACAGCTATCATTACTTTTCTCAGTAGCACAATAGTGTAACAATAACTCACAAATCAACATTGTATCGTAAAACAATTTTGGAGATTGAGCCAAGTTAGTTACAATCTATGATGCTTTATTATATATACTATTTAGTAATCGTGTCAAAGTATTTCTTTTGTATTTAATTTACCAAATAGAAATGTCGTTTCTATGAATAATAGATCGAGTACAGACGTGGAAGGAGTTACCAATGTTCCATTTGCGCAATAAGAAGATTTCCTATTAAGCCATTGTATACAGAAATTAATTATGTATTGCGCTACGCTAAGCTTTCATATTGTAACTACGCGTATGATGAAGTATCATCTGGGGGATGTAGGAATTTCCTTAATCATTTGTTGCGCTTCTATATTGTACAGTTCGTTGGAAAATAATTAAGCATTAATGGCTGTTACATATAATTTAAAAATGTTATCAAACAAAAAATAATGTCTGATTAAATTGTGGCTTATTTATATCTTACTTCTGATATGTCAAGTGAAATAAACATGATTTTAGAAAAACTTGACAATTATTGAAGTTTAAAATTATTAAGTAGGTACCAATAAACAATTTGATTTTAAGGCGCATCACTAATTAAAATTTTTTCGTTTGTATTAAGATTTTCAGAAATACTGGTTGATGAAAAAAAAAAGGTCTCAAGTCGTAGACGCAAAGTCTAATACACACACACAAGTATACGAGTATATGACAGGTAATATAAGTGAAAGCTTATCTATTACAAAGTAAAAGCTTTTTAAAAAAGTCTGTAGAGTTTAGCAGAATAGCAGAGTTATTATTTCATTTTGTAAGAGTTTATTCTTAAAACTAGCCTCATAAAGTACTTTGCGTTTGTATTTGTAGACATTAAATAAATGAGCAATATAAATATTCCTAAAAACGAAACTATCTTGAGCTTAAATTAAAATATGAATATAAAAGCGCCTTAGAAAATTGTTATATTAAAATTACGTTTCGGAGCACGTGAAATATTAAGGCAGTTTAAATTTAGACTTAATTTAATTTAAGCCAGTTATTCGAGGCTCCGTGAGTGAGACATTTAAGAACAGGATCCATTTAAACGTAATTATCTTCGTCAGTATTGACCCTTTGTAGTCTCCAGTGGAGGTCTCTCTCAACAGCATCGATCCACGAACTAACGTTAGGCGAGGCGACAAGGTTCACGAAGCTCGGTCCGGACTTTAACTTGCAGTCTTCCGGTCTCCAAGAGGATACGATGCCCCACAGCACTCCGTTTAAGACCACCGGCGCACCGGCCTCTCTCTACAATAAAACAAATTGAAAATATTGCTTATTTTTGTTTCTTTGTTCACATAAAAAGTAAAGTAACAGCCTATAAATTTTCCACTGTTGGGCAAAGGCCTCCTCTGTACAGGGCAGGGTATCAGGGCATATTCCACCACGCGGCCCCACTGCGGATTGGCGGACTTCACATATCTTCGAAATATTTCTTTTTTTATGTTATTATTTCGAAAACATACAGGTTTCCTCACGATGTTTTCCTTCACCGCTGAACACGTTCTTATGCAGCACTTAAAATTAATAATTTCATTGGTGCCGGCACTGGGGATTGAACTCAGGTATATTCTTATATATATAGTCTTATAATATGGAATTAAAGTGAGCGCCCGGACAATGAGCTATCACGGCTTTGCATATATCTATTTATTAAATATGTTACTACGTTTTTTCTTGCTGGATTTGTTATGTATTCTTGATTTGTTTTTAGGGTTCCGTACCTCAAAAGGTAAAAAAAAGAACCCTAAGATCTCTCTCTTGTCCGTCTGTCCATCTGTCCGTCTGTCCTTGTGTCATCACCGATTTTCTCAGGAACAGGTGGACTTAGCCAGTTGAAATTTATACTAGATACTGAGGTCTATAGTATCTATTAAGTCTATATAAATAAAGATCTTGAGTTAACGCTATTAAAAGATATGGGCAAATTTAGATGTTCGCGATAAATTATAAGTACCAAAATTTACTACTTTAATTAAAACTTACCCACCAATAAAAATGATAACAATTTTAATATGAAAAATACATTTAAATTAAACGTGACCTAAATTATATTATTAGCAATGATGCTATGAGTATAGTCTTCCAGAGTTCATAAGTTCATGAATATTTAAGTCTGTCGGTTGGTGCATATACAATATCAAAATCTAAACAAGGGCAGTTTTATACTATGATTTCCACCGGGACAACTATTGGCATGGCTTAAATTTATATTTTAATTCGAATTTTTATAATCAAATCAAAATATCTCATTTGATTATCAAATACTTAGCAAATAAATTGTGTAATAAATTACTCACAGCACATGGATCAGATCCTAACGACGAGTCTAAACATAATAGAGTGCCGTTATCCATTATGTCGAGTTTCTCTTGTTGTTTGCGACAGTCTTCTGGGTCCATTGGATGCATTTGTCGTACCGTCAGTAGCCTGTTGCGTTGGATCGACTCTAAAGAGTTGTACTTTATACTCTTCGAAGACTGGGCCTGCAAGACAGAAATTAAAATAGTTTCAATTTTTTTGTAATAAATTTTTTAGATTACTTTGATTTTGATGATGAGTCGGTGGCGCCGTTGTTAAGCTATTGGCTTCGGGATCGAGGGTCGTGGGTTCGATTTCCACACGGGACAAGTATTTCTGTGACCCACAGGTAATTGTTCCGGATCTGGGTGTTTGTTTCCTAAGGTTGTGGACGTCTGGCAGGCACGGAGTTGTAAAAAATAGCAAAAACCACTTTCAACATCATTCGCTTGTTGTGCCGAACCCACCTTTGTGGGATAAGGGCAGGACAAAGGTGATGATGACTTTTATTCTGTTGTCATTTAAAGTTGTAAATTGGAATAGGAAATAATCGGTCGATACAATTTCATTCCACAAGGATTTATATGGTTCACAGAATATAATAGAATAAATTATTAGGCACCGAATGTGATTGAATACAACACGTTACGAGGGATTTTTTCCATGTGAATATCTTTACGGTATTGATGGAAGCCCATCGGTGCAAACCAATGGATCCAGCGATTATATTTCTTTATATTTTATTAGAAAATTCATATAGTCATGTCAATTTGTAACATAGTTCACTTATTTTTGTATCGTACCCGGTAGAGCAATAACGATTTAGAAGACAGCTCCCGTAGCTCAAAGAGACCCCTTGTTGATTGTTTCTATTAAATTTTTTGCCTTCTGTTCAATATTTTCGTTATAGATAGAAATATGTTATCTAGCTTTGAGGTTTATCTCAACGATTATTTAATAAAGATGATAAATGTCTATACAGCGTGACGTTTAAAAATTGTTTCTGTTTACATTTTTAGTATGTGAAAAGCTGCCAAGCGAGCAGACGGTTCACCTCGTGTTAAGTGAATACCACCGCCTATGGACATCTGCTACACCCGAGAGTTCCAGATGCGTTGACAACCTTTTGAAAATTGGGCTCCGGCCACCGCACTCACCAGACGAAACGCAAAAGTATTTGTTCTTCCACGTTACGCCGGTCTTCTGTGAGGTCGTGGTACTTCTACCCGGACGAGCCTGCCCATTCGTGCAACAGCTGAGGCTGTTGCGTGGCCCTACAACCGTGAGAACATCTGTCACATTAAATTATATATACATCACATTATGTGATATATAATTGAACGTGATGATACGGAAAGAGATAAGGATTGCCGTACTTTTAGTGCCTCAGTTTCGTGTGCTAGTGTCGTATCTACCTCGTATTTCTATATAATATGATTGGTTTATCTGCACAAAAAGGGTAGGTCGACAGGGATACTACCAGGAGTTCACAGAAGATCAGCTTAAACTAGAAGCGTTTATAATTTTGCGTTTCGTTGTATGGTTCAGACCGCTACCCTTTAAGTGATGGTCAACGCGCTTTCAACATTTTTGGTGATATTATTGTTCACGGGCAGTGGAACTGCAATCTCAGTTTAGCGTCTCCGGAATAATACCGTGGCAAAGTTGCACTTTTACCTTACTCCGTGGCGGCCAGGCGGTGACTATGAAATGTGTGGCAGTCAACTCCCTCATTGTCCTTCTTAACCTTATCGGGTAAACGTTGGGCGACAAAGGTGCTGGTTCCGCGAGCCTCACCAGAGCCAAGTCGTAGCTGGGACCGGAGTCGTCGAAGTACGGGTGTATTCGGAAGTATTTTACCGGCAGTACCGAACCGTGCTTTTTGTAGTTCACGCTGCCGATGCGCACGCGGAGCTCCCTGATAGTTTCACGGACTCTACGGAACGAGGCTTGATTTAATGAGGTCGTTTGTGTTTTCTTTATGTGAGAAAGTGGCTAACGAGCTGGCGGTTCACTTCATGTTGTGTGGTGACCGCCACCCATGGACATTTGAAACACCCGTGCGATTGCAAATGCGTTGCCACCTTTAAATAAAGTGGGCCCCGGCTACCTCACTCACCAGACGAAACGCAGAAGTGTAACACTTCTACTTTACGCCGGTTTTTTGTGAGGTCGTTTGTTTTAAGTTTTTGTCCCTGTCTTAATGTCCCTTTCTCGTAGGAGGCCCGGTAACTTATGATAGTTGTAGGAGCTAAATAGTTTTAATGGAGCCGGGGGCGTGGGTTCGATTCTCGCATGGTGCTATTAGCATGACCCACAGTAATTATCTCGAATTTGAGTGTTTGACCAAGTGAAAGTTTTATTAGATAATCGTCCTTACAACATTGGATAATCTTATCCTACAAAAAGGGTTTGTAATACAATGTTTAAAAAAAAACACACATCGATTTCAAAAAGTTTTTAACACAAGTGCATTCTTGTACGGAATTATGTTTTAACGAATATATGTATGTCTGTTTTATTTATTTATTTATATATTACACTTACGCACACAACTATTGTTTGTATCCGTGTATATCCGGACATACTCGTATTTCACACTACTTTATCTAGTCCCAAACTAAGCAAAGCTTGTACTATAAATAACAGGGAACAGATAAAATTACTTAAACACACTTTTCTTTTGTAAATAAATACATATTGTAGAAATATAAAAACCCAGACACTAGAAAACACTATGTTCTCCACAAAATATTTTTCCAGTTGTGAGGATCGAACCCACACCCTCTGTCGCGGGGGACAGGTCCACTATCCACTACGCCATTCGGGTCATCAATTTGTATGGAATGCCGTCGTATGTATGGAATACTCACAAATAGAGAGCATCGGCCGCCGTTAATATCCAACTGTCGCTTATCATGGCACCGGCACTCAGATAGCTGGCCATTTTGAGTACAGCAACCACATACGGGAACATTTCTTTATCTGTGACCATAGTGTGGTCGTTCAAGCCCTCATAAATATCCCGCTTGGCCACATCTGCTTGCGAGTGGACCACCGCTATTAATTACCGCAATGGCAATAACTTTCACGTTTAAACCGCAAACCATTGCGCGGGCTATTAGTCATGTGATTTTAAAAAGCAAAACGAGAGTTGGCCTGTAAAGCGAGTTGAAAGAGTTGTTTTGTAAATAGAATTACGTATTCGAAAGCAATCGATACGGACGGCGATATCTTTGTGTAACGGCGCTGGCAATCCGTGTTGGATTTTAAATGGAATATTGACGTTTGTCTTTTGTTGTTTTTTGGGGTTCCGTAGCCAAAGGGTAAAAAGGGACTCTATTACGAGGACTCCGCTATCTGTCTGTCTGTCCGTCTGTCGCCAGGCTGTATCATGTACCGTGATAGACAGTTGAAATTTTCACAGAATTTGTAGTTCTGTTGCCACTATACGAGTACAACAAATACTAAAAAAATATTTAAGTGGGGCTCTTATACAATAGACATGATTTTTTTGCCGTTATCACAGATTCCCCCTCGGCTGATTTTTTTTAAATTACTCCCTAAATAAAAATAGTTTGTCTCCGAAGGATACATACAATCATTAGAATCAGATCAATTCGTTGCCTGAGTTTGCTTGTCCATACAAAAAGTACCTACACTTTTTGTATGGAACCATATTACTGCGGTAGGGCCACGCAACAGAAATGGGCACGAATGGGCACGAAATGCACGAATGGGCAGGCTCGTCCGGGTAAGTACCACGACCTCACAGAAGACTGGCGGAAAGTAGAAGTGTTGCACTTCTGCGTTTCGTCTGGTGAGTGAGGTAGCCGGGCCCACATTATTAAGTGGTCGCAACGCATGTGCAACCCTACGGGTGTTGCAAATGTCCATGGGCGGCGTTTATTACTTAACATCAGGTGACAATATCATCTTACATAAAAAATTGCAGTCTTTTTTACTTTTTTTCTGATTCTTGGCATGTCAATAAATGTATCCATACAGGATATCATGACATATATAATATACTATAATATTGTACATCGTTTGTATACAGGATTAATATCCTTGAATAGGGAGTGTACAAATGGATTCAGAGTAATGCATATAATAATAAGCAAATATTAATTTCATGTTTTGTTCTGAACATAAGTGAGCTTTAGAAAGAAATGTGTTCTGTTGTTTTTTTGTAAGGAAGTAGTTTACAAGTATAAACTTCATGTGGACAAACACCCAGACCCGAAACCGTTATCTGTGCATCGCACATAATTATCCGATTTGGGAATCGAACCCATCACCACAGTGCCGTAGCCAATCCTCTGGCAAGTGCGCCACGTCGTCAAATTACTTGAGAGCCTGTGCTTTTTGCCCTAATGCTATAAATAATAAAGTAAAATCCGTGATCCGATCCCATTCCATGCATCAATAATTACATCACCGGTTGAAATTTCAGTGGACAAAATAAACATACAATGGAAGTTTACGAGAAGATATAGCTGCTTAATAAAAAATGGCAGCGTGTACTTATGTACACGCGTGAGAAGTTACACTTCTTTGGCATCATTAAATAATTAATTACATTAAAATAATAAAGACTGGAAAAGGATATATATAATAAAAATAAATTATGAAAGCGTTATCTACATTCTTTATGGAGAACTGTAACGGGCGAATGTGATTGAGAATATACTGCCATCAGTAAATAGCGGTTAAGCGGCTTCAAAGGTGTTACTTTTGTGTTACAGTGTTGCGCGCGCATCTTAAAATTTCACTCTCATAATTTTTTCATAACGCCCTCAAGAAGTATTACATACTTCAACAAATCAAAAGAACTTAAAAAAAGAACAAAATTTAGGATATCCATTTTTTATCACTTCACACTACGCTAAGTACACGTTGAACAAACTCTATTATAAAATATTCATTATGTTTCTATAATATACTTGAAATGTTAGCTTCATTTTATGTACCACCTTTTATTCTCTCCTGAAAGCTTCGTTACTCGTGAAACGCTATTGACATGAAACAACGCTGGCAGTCTGTGGGGGAGGCCTATGTTCAGCAGTGGACTCAAACAGGCTGAAATGATGATGATGATGATGAACGCTGTAATAGAATCATAAAGCAATTATGACGGGAATAAGCCGGTGACGACCGTTCCCGATCCATCATTAAAGACATTATTTTAATGAAATTACAATAATGATGAGTAATTTATAATTACTGTAATAAGGAATATGTATTAGTGAATTATAAGCGCTTTCCAACAGACTTCAACGTCTTTTTTTTTGTATTTGTTACCTCAGAAATTTCGACTGAGTTAAGTGATTTTGATGATTCTTTTTTTTTATTTGAAAGCTGGTGCTTCCCATGTGGTCCCATATTAATTTCATCGGTATTGGCTCTTGGGCTCCGGAGATGCTTGGGGAACTCCTGAAAATCAATTATACGAGAAAATGGAAATAGAACGAGATATTTCAAGTCGGTTTTCGTTTTAAAAATGGTTTCGTTAATAAAAATGGACTCGTTCGTACTAAGACATTTTGCGCTCCAATATTAAAATAAGCATCATTGATGGTCTAAGAAGTATGTAGTTTAGTAAAAAGTACGATTCTGTTTGATGGTCCACATTTAGTTACATCACAATTAGTTCCAGCGAGTAAAAACTACGTTTAAGTTTTTGTAGGACCTCAACAATGAAAAATTGGGGCTATTAAAACAACTTGTTTATTGAATACGATAACATAATGTTATCGTGTGCAACTGTTTGAATCGTATGAAACTGTCTCACCCAGTTACGTTTACGAGTCTCTACTCGTAAAGTTAATGTAAATGGTGTCTCTACACAAAATAGAAAACAGTTCTTCGTATATACAACGACAAAGCGGCAAGAAAAATAGCGAAAATCTGTAACCAGGTATTTCCTTTTCGTATATACTAGAAATTGGCGGCAATGAATTTACTGTTCATCTTAATTTAGAAGAGGAGAAAAATATATCGCAGGATTTTCTTACTTCTTTTCGATAACGTTAATACTAAAATTATTTTTTATATTAGTACTCAAGTACTCATCAGGTACCATACCTGAAAGTTCTTCAATTAGCAGTTGAAAAAATGGGTTATTATCAAAAAATAAAATTAAAATATTATCACTGTGGGTGGGCCACGCAACAGTTTTCTGCACGAAAGTTCGTAGCAGTAAGTAAAAGTAAAGTAACAGTATACATGTCCCATTGCTGCGCAAAAGCCTTCTCTGTATAGAGGGTATCAGCGGCCCCGCTGCCCCACTGCGGATTGGTGGACTTCACATATGTAAAATATTTTTTTTTTCGTAGCAGTACCTCACAGAAAACCTGCGTGAAAGGTTTACATTATACTTTTCCGTTACTTTTGCTGGATGAGGCAATCGGGGCATGTTACTTTATAGTTTTACATCAACAGGTAGGACAAATCTCTTTCCCCTTTTTACACCTTCTGGATGGGAAGAGTGTAAGGTTTTGGATAAGGGTTAGCGGTTCTTATGAACTAGGTGATACTGGGAAATCCCTTGGATTCTTGCCGATCTCTTGGATTTTGTCCACTATACAAAACTGACAAAATACATGTTATAGATATTTTAATATTTTACAAACAGCGGGTCTGACTGGGTTTAGTTTCGCGCCATCGCTTTGTCATCACAAATCATCCAATGATAGTGTTTTAATTAAAAGAAAATCTTTGTACAGTGCACGATTGGGAAGGCTCACCCGGGGAAGTACCACGGCCTCACAGAAGAACAGCGTGGAAGACCAGTATTATACTTTTGTGTTTCGTCTGGTGAGTGCGATAACCGGCGCCCATTTTTCAAAAGTTGGCAACGCATCTGCAAACCTGTGTTGTAGAAGTCCATGAGCGGCAGTCACCAGTCAATAGTTTAACTGTGGTAGGGCCACGCAATGGTGTTCACTGTTCGACGGCGAACGAATCGGCAGGTACCACAACCTCACAGAAGACCGGCGTTCTACTTTAGAAGTGTTACACTTCTGTGTTTCGTCTGCCCACTTTATTTAAAGGTGGCAACGCTTCTGCAACCCTACGGGTGTTGCAAATGTCCATGGGCGGCGGTTATCACTTAATAGCAGGTGAGCCGCCAGTTCATTTGCCACTATGTCACATAAAAGGTGAACCGCCTGTTCTATTGCCAATTTTTCACATTAAAAAAAATGAGTCTGAATAATGTAATGAAGTCTCTTTTCTTAACAAACTACAGTTTGGCATATTTAACTACGTGTTATCTTGATCAAACAGTAAGGAGAAACTGGTTTATTTAGATTTAAGACCCAGCCGTAGCTGATACCTTAGTTTAAGCTGTCAAAAAGTGGAATTTGTTAAACATTACTGATTGCTATTAACAATTCCGGTTCTTTCAACATTTGGATTTTAATGTAAACATACAAAGAGAAACAAACCCTACATAATATTTCTTATTACATTCTTCACATATCATTCTTATTCAAATAATTCAGCATACTTCTTTTCAGACTTTTCTGAATGTACCTACCACTGTTCATATTCCTAGTTATATATTTCCTTTTTAATGAAACGTGTATTTATATGCAATAATTAAAGTGATAGCGACACTTGAGCCATGAATTAATTATTTCATGGAAATAAATGAATGGGTATACTTTATTGTACAATAAGAGAGAAAAGAAATAAATGAAACAAATCAATATAAGTAATACAAATATTAACATAATATAAATATACATAAATAATAAAATAAAATAAAATAATAAAACGTTTATTTAAATTAAAGAGTACATCGGAAATCGTTATTATTTAGAGCAGTCTTTTCCAGGCGATAATTAGTCACCACTATGCCGCGATTTATGGCAGTGTTACGAGTATAAGGACAAACGGAACTAGAAGCAAGGGTGAAGGTCTACAAAAGTCTTGTCATTTAAAAAAAATCAATATATTTCATAACTTTAGAATAGGTACTCTGCGCAGCTGCCTCTCGATTTGTTTGACGCTCTTATTTTTAATATCGGGGATCATCGATATCGCGTATATAGCTCCGAATATGTTGATGCACGCACACAAATAGAGCAGCGTGTATATGCCGATGTAATCCTCTAAATATTGGAACGTCAGTGTGTGCAGCAGTCTCACTGTTTGGGAATATACGTATATCACTCCCATAGCCGTAGCCCGTATCTGGAATATAATTATGCGATGGTTAATAAGTGAAAAAGGATAGCCCGATTGGCGTAGTGGATGGTGAACTTGTCTCTTGCGTCAGATGGTGCGGATTCTATCCCCACTACTGGAAAAATATTGTGTGATTAACATAGTGTTTTTCTAGTATCTATATCTAATCTAATATGGGTGTTTGTGTATCTATAATCTTATCCTTTAAACGAGCAATTCTTGTATATATATATATATATATATATATATGCTCCAGCGATTTTCATGAAATTTAGTATGTGCGTAGATTCGGGGGCGAAAAATCGATATAGCTAGGTTTCATTTTTAGAAAATGTCCTTTTATCCCTGTTTTCAGGGAATGATAAATATCATTCGAATACGACGGTAAATTTCGCCGCAAAAAAAAATGTTATAATAGCTCGGTCGGTAATCGGGCGGCCCCGAAACGGTAGGCCGTGGTTCGTGTCACGATCATTTTCACATTTATTTTTTTACTTTTTTTTCGATTCCAGATCATTGCTTTCTTTATTTTTAATTTTTTGTCGATTTGTTATTTTGTTATTATTTTCCCTTTTTCTTTAAAGTTCTTTCTTTTGCCAAAAACATCAGTTCATATTTTCTTATTATTACGTCGGTAACATCGAAAAATATTATGCATAATTCATTACTCAGTAAAATATTATGTATCTAAATGTAATTTCCAAAACACACGATTTACCAAAAAAAAAAAAAAACCGAGCAAAGCTCGGTCCTCCGGGTAATATATATGTATTTACAAAAGAAAAGTATGTGTGATAAGTACTATATTCACTTAAATATTTTAGCGTTGTTTTCTTCAAAGTTGGCTTAGTGACTTTCACCCGGCTAAACTTGTTAAAGTGTAGGAAATTTAGGCAAACTGTCGTTAATAGTTTTTCGCAAATGTGTTCTTTATCGGAGCGCCATATGTTCCACAATTATTATTGTTCAAATTTAATAGCTCAAACACCGTTTTAGCTTTATGTTTGTCGACATTGACGGAAAATACACAAACAGAATTAAGTTAGTATTTTCATTAAAACAAAAAACTTGTTTGGAAACTTCATGTTAATAATATATGATAATGACATCTATTGACAATTTGTATAAATTAAAGATAGCTAAGTAGACTAACTGTAACTGTTATCTTTGAAAATTACCTAGTTATTATAATTGACCCCTGTCATTGATAAATAGTTATTTGCATATTATTATATTATCAAGTGGTCACTGATCGGTGTGACCTGTGCAAAATTTTACGAATTCATTTTGTAAACTAACTAGTTTCCGCATTTTATTCCGCATTTCATTTAATAATGACTATGTCTGCCCAAAAATGTCAATAAAATTCACCTTGTAGCCCTTATTAATTACAACTTGATTTTGACTCATCGTTTAGAATTAGTTAATGTTGCAAATTACGATTTAAAAAAATACTTATTTGTATAAAATTAAATATCACGTTTAAGAAATGTCTTTATAAGGACGTTGTCACCGTCCTTTATAAGAAAATGTACCATACCTCTATATTTAGCATCTCAGCTAAGATTACGGTTGGCAAACTCCAGACCACACCATAGCTGATTACTAGAATTGCCAGAGCGACGATTGGCACCCATCTGAGTGACGTCACTGTAAGGTCGGCCTGGGTGTATACAGCTAAAGTGCCCATTGATAATATCATCACACTATATGAGATGGTCAGTAGGTACTGGAAACAATTATAATCAACTCTTAATTTTCTGATTTAGAGCCGTCATAGATCAGTGTCCGGGCGCTCGCCTTTAATTACATTTACTCGAGTAACGTGAGTTCGATCCCCGGTGCCAGCACCAATGAAATTGTTAATTTTAAGTGCTGAATCATCACGTGCTCGGCGGTGAAGGAAAACATCGTGAGGAAACATGCATATTTTCGAAACAATAATAAAAAAAATGTTTCGAAAAATATGTGAAGTCGGCCAATCCGCAGTGGGGTCGCGTGGTGGACTATGCCCTGATACCCTCTTTACGGAGGAGGCCTTTGCCCAGCAGTGGGACATTAATAGGCTGTTACTTTACTTTACTTTACTATTAATTTTCTGACGACAAAACAAACAATTGATTTCTAGTTTCTACACAAAATTGTAATACCGAATTTTTTTAATGCGAGAAGGTGGTAAGCCACTTGGTGGTGCACTTGATCTTAAGTAATAAACATTTGCAACACCCGTAGGATTGCAGATGCATTGTCACTTCCACTTCACGTCGGTCTTCTGTAAGGTCGTGCTACTTACCCGGACGGACCTGCCCATTCGTGCAACAGCCGAAGCTGTTTGTGGCAGTTAAAATTAATATTAGCATATACACATTATGATTTTCGATGATTGTGTTTTATACAATTAATAAATAATTGCCGTATTTTAGCAAACAAACCTTTTGATTAAAGAAACTTATGCAGGTATTCTCTACTACAAGCGACGAATCTAGAAATTAGTGTGAGAATGAGAATAAATTGTTTACAATGGTGTTAGCTTCTTTGTAATTTTCTCAAGCCATTGCAATGAATAGCAATTCATAACTTAGAATGTATTTCTATGGTTATTTATATTAACGACTACATTATGATATTTACTCATAACTTGACTTTCAACAGCGATTTAATTCGAAGATATTTATCCAATCTTCTCTTCTATATTTTTCGTAAATTATCGTATAAAAAATAATAGTCTAGTTTTATGTAAATCTTTGTTTATAATGCCAACTACTTACTTTCCTTTCGAGAAAATTCACTAGAACCACACAGCTGAAACCGCCTAGCAATAGGCTGATAGGAACCAGCATTTTTTCAGGGTCAATGTCAGTCTTAAGCTGCGCCAGTGCTTTGTCTTGATCTAGGAATATGCTGCACCCGCTTAATATTGTCGTAGTGTTCAATAACAGTCCTATTTTCATTTGATCCCGCCATATTTTGTGTTTTGCTGAAGAATAGAACGTGACAATCGTGACGTTTGAACACTTAATGCACCATTTTTAGGGTTCCGTACCCCAAGGGTAAAACGGGTAGTAATATTACTAAGGCTCCGCTATCTGTCTGTCTTTCTTTCTGTCGTGTATCAACACGGGCAGACAGACAGACTGTATCTCATGAACCGTGATAGTTAGACAGTTGAAATTTTCAGAGATGATGTATTTTTGTTGCCGCTATAACAAGCAATACTAAAAAAACAGATAAAATGATATTTAAGTGGGGCTCCGATACAACGGACATGATTTTTTTGCCGGTTTTACAGTTTTTATAGACAGAACACTTCGTGTGTTAATCCGACTCGCACTTGAGCGGTCTTTAATTAGCTGCTTTTAAATAGTTGATTACAGTAAAAGCTTTCTCATTGGTGTTGAGAGTTGGACCATAATGCGCCGTGGCAATGTTTTGTTGTCACTTTTTTAATATTTTAGACACACAATCATTGTGCATGGAGAATGAGTGGAAAGGCAATTAAGCTGATGATGTATACTGAGAGAGTGCTGTTTCAACTACTTTCTTTGTGACAAATAATTAGATTTACTAATCTCATGAACGTATATTAAATGAAACTAGTTAACGGATTTTATCGCGTTTTATTTTGATCAACCGAAATTCCTCTTGAATTCCTGAAGGATGACCCGCGAGGCTATTAAACACAAAAATAACATCCTAATTTAAATAGAGAAGATGGTTCAAAATAATTGACGGTACCCCGGATTAACTTTGACATCAATACATGTAACAAGTCAGTCGGTTTCATGAACGCTGGGACGTGTTCGAAACGTCGGGAATTAAAAATCAAAATTAAAACGCAATTAAATCCATAAACTACTTTCATTTACAAATTCGCGTATAATCAAGAAATCAATAACGAACGTACTTAAAATAGTATAAATAATCTTCAACTACATCTTACTGTCTTGATAATGAGTAGCAATATGTCTCATATTTTCCTTTGTATTTCAGCACGCTCTTCCAGGTAAGTAACACCGCTTCATAGAAGATCGGCGTGAAATAAAAGTATTAAAATTTCCTCCTATTCTACTTGAACTAGAATTTGATTAGCAAATCTGGGGTGGACTAGAAAAACATCATTAAAAACCTCTTCATTCTTGGATTGAAGTAAAAGAAGAAAGCCGGGAAACTGGTAAATTTAGGGAAAAACAAATCACATCGTGCAAATACAATTTGGCCAGCAAGAGTGAAGGTAAGAAAAAAAACTTTTACAAAATGTCTCCTTACTTACGGATATTAAATAAACCTAGGTTTCTAGTTGATTTGGCACGGTCGCTTTCTTCTTTCAGCAGGCGAACCTCATTGGTAACAAAATTTTGATCGTGTTTTAAACAGACTAGTTTTGCTGTACTCAGTTGTGCGTCCTGTAATATGAGAGTCTGCTATCGATATATGAACCATTTGACACGGAAAAAAAGAAAGATTCTGTCCGATTTTAACGTGGCTGTCTTCAAGGTTTGGTGAATAGGCTACTATTAATTTTACTATAGTTTTAAAATAAATACTATAGGTAAAAAAAAGTTTAAAGGCGCTATGGAAATGTAATATTTGCTCAATTGCAAAAGTAAGCAGACATATAAATGTCTGCATACACAGATAAAATAGTTAAATTTAGGCAATATGATTTTGTAATATTTTTTTTAAAAAATGAAAAACGTTTTACAAACTGAAATTTCACATGGACAAACACCCAGATGCGAAATAATTATCTGTGGGTCGCACAAATAGTTGTCCCGTGTGGGAATCGAACCCACCATACCCGACGCCGAAGGCAATACCTTGGCAACTGCGCCACGGAGTCATCAGAAGTAATAATTTGAAGGCATTGAAATGAAGACAAAGTAAAAAAAAATATCAATAAAAACTGACCAGTAATTTATCTCTCATCACGAGAAAGCCAGGACTCTCGGGTATCAGGAAAACTACGACGAGCTCTATCGCTACAAATCCAACCATGAGATACAACATTGAGTCTTCAGATAAGAGCAACTTCATGGCGTTACCCGCGGCAGCCATTAACATCATGAGTGCCAGAGTCACACCTCGCATTCCGTCCGAGCTGACTTCTCTGACGTAAATTGGTACGACGACGAACAAACCCCCAGTGGCTACACCGGCAATTGAACCTTGTATTATCACACTGGCGTCAGTCAAAGCAATTAGCAGAGGCACGCATACGATCTGAAAATTAAATATGATTGTTGATTTATCAATAGTCAATGCGTCATCCAAAATTCTTTATATAGAAGCTCGTAAACAGCAGGCAAATCACATAATGGACTACACCACAAGAAAAGTAGTAAATATCTTGTCGGATACAAAAAGAATATTCTTTCTTCTAGATTAGAAGGTCTTTAAAAGTTTTATACTTTTACATACTTTTTGTATTTATTGATTAGGTAATGACATGGGATTGCACCTACACTCACTGGTGCAAGAGACAGTTTCACTCTCCCCCACAAAGTATCGAGTTGTCATGATTAAAATACACTTACGGTGCTTTGGAAAGCAATATAGAATTTTATCAAATTTAATTGAATTTAGTAAAAGGACTCAACAGCAACAGTAGATGCAAACATGAAAGAAATAAGACTCACCCCTTGCAATAAAACGATGAGATAGATTCCGACTCTTCTGCCATATCTGTTTATAACAAAACAATGTAGCGGTGCGGCTACTATAGAACTGAGTATAAACGCTACAGTACTCCATGGGACGTTTAAATTTTCTATTGTTGGTCCTAGTTTTGAAGTGGCAGTTAGCACGTCGTTTTCAACGCCGTACGTGAAAAAGGGTAGGCTGACTAAAAGAGAAGAAAAAAAAACTGTCAATTTAAACATAATATAATCGTTCACATTTTAGTAGGGTTTAAGGGTGACTGAACATTTTAGTTTTTTTTTTATGCTGCTTATCTCTTACGATTATCGTCGGTGTGGCAATCAGCCGTTTAGCTTAGTAGCTAAAGCGTCAGGGCGCGAATCCCGAAGACGTGGGCTCGGTTCCCAAAGCGGTGGTAGAGCAACACAGCAGCCTCGGCTGTTGCACGAATGGGCAGACTCGTCCGGATAAGTACCACGACCTCACAGAAGACCGGCGTCAAGTAGAAATAGAATACTTTCGCGTTTCGTCTGGTGAGTGAGGAAGCCGGAGCCCAATTTCGAAAAGGGTTGTCAACGCATCTGCAAACCCTCGGGTGTAGTTAGCAGATGTCCAAGGGCAGCGGTATTCACTTAACATCAGGTTTACCGTCTACTCGCTCGGCAACTTTCCACATAGAAAAAGCGGCGAAAAACTTTTCGTACTTTTTTCACACAAATTTTAATGGTGACTGAGAACTTATAAAAATAACTACTGTAGACCGGACCGCCTCTCACCATGACATGATGGTCTAAGCATTGCTGAAATGATCTTAAACTACATCTCGTTTTATTATCACTACTAATAGGCATACACGAATGAGGCTAGACGTATTCATTTTAGGCCAAGACTAGTCACAATATCCGCATAAGGAATCTAATATCTAAAATTCTCGTGTCACGGTGTTTGTAATTGAGCTCCTCCGAAACGGCTCGACCGATTTTTATGAAATTTTGTTTGCATATTGGCCAGGATAGAGAATCGGACAACATCTATTTTTCATCCCACTAAATGTTAAGGGTGGTCCACCCCAAACATTTTTTTTCTAACCTACAAATAATTTATATGGTCAGCTAGTTTTTCTATATTATCTTGTTCATTAATTTATTTGTTTTCAATGGGACACCAGCAGTATATAAATTATACACTTAAACAACAGATTTTAGAATCACAATTCCTGATGCACGTACCGTAATAAGTGACACAGCGTTGGTACAGTAAAATATATTTAAGTAAAAATTAAGGTCAAATAAAGATTTACTAACATTTTATGTATTACACTAAAACTTGCTAAACGAAGTTTTTAACAAAAAACGTGATTAACGTTTCAAATATTGTGTTAAGGGTGCTCGCTCGTCATGGGATTCGATTTTTTTTATGTGAAAAGTTGCCTAACGAGCAGACGGTTCACCTGATGTTAAGTGAATACCGCCGCCCATGGACATCTGCTACACCCGAAGGTTCCAGATGCGTTGACAACCTTATGAAAATTGGGCTCCGGCTACCTCACTCACCAGCCGAAACGCGAAAGTATTTGTCATACTTCCACTTTACGCTGGTCTTCTGTGAGGTCGTGGTACCTACCCGGACGGGCCTGCCTATTCGTGCAACAGCCGAGGCTGCTGCGTGGCCCTACCACCGTATGCTGCGTGGCCCTACCACCGTATACCAGATACCATCGAGATAAGTTGTTTTTGCGGGTATAAGGCTGCTTTGCATAATTCTAATAGTGTTCAAATAGCCTTACACACGCAAAAACAACATTACTAAGCAGGCGCGTGTGATAAAATGTTTATTACTCATGGAATACATACAACTGATAAAGGCATTGGGACTGCAAGACCTTATCTATTAGAAAATACGGTCGTTAATTAAATTTCTTGTCAGAACGAGGTAAAAATAAATAAAAATTGATAGACTAAATCCTTTTCTTAGAATTCCTATTATTCCAAATATGCTGAGTTTCTTACGCCGGTTCTTCTCAGTTCAGTGGCTTTCATTTCGAACCGGTGGTAGAGTTTTTTGACTATCAATAAGTAAGTGAATGCTTCTATATTGAATAAAGATATTTGACTTTGACTTTGATGTTCTGCGATCTTCATCATAGATATTCGGCGATTTCAAAGAACAGCTGTTGTACCAATAAAAGCACTCGATGCTTTAAATTACTTATTAATGAAATTTTTCATAAAATAAAGAGCCTATTGAAATGTGTTACACACGCTCGATTTTCATGCATATTCAAATAAAACTGTTAAAACTCGACAAGAATTACTGATAAGGAAATTTCTCGAAAAACACGTTTTGAAATAATTAAAGGCAAGACTAAGTGTTTCAGGTTACGAATTCACGCATATTTTCTATTCTTTTATCGTCATACATTTAAAACGTAATAATAATACTAGGTTATTTCAAATAAAACATTGGTTACAAAAAAGTAAAAAAACATTATATTAAATCATTGATACTGTGATACTTTAGACTGTGTTACAGACTATAGTGTCGTCCCCTCATAGTTAACATTAATAGCTATTGTATAAAACTGTTTCAAAACAAATTGTTGAAATTGGTTGGGTTGAAAAATAATGAAAATAATGAATAATCAAGAAAAAAGTCACCCGGAATTCTCCTATGTGTAATGTATGCATAAATATCTACTGTACTAAGCTAAAGCATTTACAAATTGTTTTGTAGTCCGAATATTTCTTGCCACCTGCTTGAGTTTAAACGAGTGATTTCTGTCCCTGATTGGTATTTATATCATAACTTAGAAAACTGTTAAAATATATTGGTACGTTATAAAGTTATTTTATAAAAAAGTATAACTCAAGATGTTACTTTGCAATGGATCAAACTAGAATCGAACTATATCTTACCTGTTATATCGGCCCTACCATCGTATCTAACGGATATTATACTGGTAGGGCCTCGCAACAGCCTCGGCTGTTGCACGAATGGGCTTGCTCGTCCGGGTAAGTACCACGATCTCACAGATGACCGGCGTAAAGTGAGAGTATTATACTTTCGCGTTTCGTCTGGTGAGTGAGGTAGCCGGAGCCCAATTTTCAAAAGGTTGCCAACGCATCTGCAACCCTCGGGTGTAGCGGATGTCCATGGGCGGCGGTATTCACTTAACATCTCGTGAACCGTCTGCTCGCTTGGCAACTTTTCGCATCCACATTTCTAAATAGTGTTGGATATATAATTGGATAAGTATAAGAATCTTCCTAAAATATAACTAGGCATAGCAATAAAATACTGTCGATACGTAAAGACATTCGATCTTTGAATATAGTACACATTGACATCGTTCTTAATTCGACGATTTGGCATTGACTAAATTGACTAACGAACAATGACCGGACACAATTAGCAGTAATAGCAACATGTCCAAAGACAAATGAACCTATATTGCCTATACAATCGATGTTCTAGTATGTGAATTAAATCTTTGGCTTTTAATAGTATAATTGTCAATACAAAGATCCAAGATTTCCAACACTGTGTATAGTTGTCCACAACGATTGTGGACGTTTATGACTAATTTTTTATTATGATAAAAGGTCAATCTATGCCAGAATTAAACGTGATAAACGGTCATTAAGATTGCTGCGAATTATGATATAATTTACATAAGGAAAGTCATAATTAACATTGTCAATCCGTCATGGGGCCATCAACATTTTTAATATGTTGGTGACATTTACCTTGATTATACTATTGAGATGTTGTGTATAAAAAAATGCGGAGAAAAATGATAAAGAGAATAAAACAATCCTTAATATCCTTACTAATATTATGAAGTCGAAAGTTTGTATGTATGGATAGATGTTTGTTACTCTTTCACATAAATACTACTGAATAGATTTTATTGAAAATTTACAATAATATAGCTTATACATCAGAATAAGACATAGGCTATAGTTTATATACATATTTTATGTATATAAAGTAGTTTATATCTGTCTTTCTGTCTTAATGGTACACCTTCAGCCTATTCTACGCAGACGTAGTCGCGGGAAGCAGCTATAGATAACATACATATTTCATTACACAGGAAAAAAAGTTTTACTTACCGAAAAACGATACAACATACCGTTTCCAAACCTTACTCTCATTTACGTCTTCACTGAAACTTCCGCCGACGGTGTCAGTGTAAACCATTGTCGAGTCACTATCGCGAACTCACTGAACGTACTAGGAGACACTCGTGTTGCCGTTTAATCCCTACCATTCGATATAATACCCTAGCAACGCAAACATAGGGTATCCTTTTATCTGAGCACGTCGCCGCTGCGTTTGCGCGGGTCTTAACGAGTGTCAATACCTCATCTCGCGAATTGGTAGCTGATAGTGGAGTACTGGGCTTTGCGGGCTGTTCCAGATAAGGTCCAACGGTGGCGGGTCTTTTGTCCACAGAGCGTACGTGATGCGAGACGCGTACGATTACTGGACGATGCAAGAGCTGGCGACGGATGAGGAAATAGATCATTGAGAGCGTTAGCTCTTTAAGGGGCTCGCTCTTAATCACTTCTTGAGTTTTGGTTCGCTCTTTACGCTTTCAAGCTGATTATATCATGTCGTTGGCTTGCATTGTTCTACTGATTTTTGTCAGTGGCATGACTATCTGGATTAAATTACCTCTGGGGCATTTGAGCTACGCATAACTCGAACAGTATTAGCTATTAGCATTGTACATTAGGCTTAAAAGACACAAGAGCTTGTTTTTGTTATTTTATACACACGATCCAATAATTTCCGTATACAATACATCGTTCAAGTTCTTAAATAGTCAGTGTATTTAACAACTTAATTGTTAGTCAACAATTCAGTTCTTAAAAGTTATTACTTAAAACTTATTGTTCAAGAATTATAAATATCTTTTGTAGTCTAAAATTACAATGAAGTTATGTTTTTATTCTTAAAATTAAACTATTTCTTTAAGGATTTATAGCGTTTATTTTAATTCCAGATGTTTCGAACCCTTTACAGTGTTCAAGGTCGCGGGATAGGCTGCGTTTTTGTTTTTATGATTTATAAGTGTATTTCTTTTAAGGTAGCCACAAAATCTTTGCGGAATTTCACCCCAATCCACCGATCTGACACTAGAGACTAGTTCATAGACACTACTGTCTATGAACTAGTCTCTATCCTAATAATGCAGTTTCATGGCGAGCCAGCACAAGTTCTAAACAAATGTTGCGAAAAACACGATATAGACGCTTTTATGATACAATTACTTAGTCTAATTTTTTTTTCTAAATACCATACTTACTATTGTAATTTTATGGAAATTCAGATCGCAGTTTTAGTTTCAGTGTTTGATAAATTTTTATGTTCTGTTTATCTCCTAACGTTATACGTTTTTTTTTTATTTTGTATTCAGTCATTTAATCATGAAGGCATGTTATTGGCTTTCTGTTACTACATTTTTTCTTTTTACTTTATTATTATTTGCTGTCGGTTTTCCTGTCAAATAAATAAATCGGAATGGATAACATTTTTATATTATGATTTTCTCTTTTTTCAACGGTATCAAATATAAGCTAGTAATGATCTACCACCGGTTACAAGCGATTACATGCGTCCATGACTCTGCCGTTATATTATCTAATTTTTTTGTTACAATTCTTTACACCTTTTTCTTTGTCAATTTTTTCAAAAACTGTTGGAAAAATGACCCCGTAGCGATATTGGGGCTCGTGGTTGTTTGACCCACCGATAATTGTTTCGAATGTGGGTCCGATAGTTGTCCACGTGTTGGCAACACTAAAGGAAGTCATTCCTTGAGGTTGTTGGCAATACTAAAAGAAGTGTCATTCTGTGGGGTATAAATGAAGCTGCAAGAAGCATTTCGTGGTCTTCGTCGTAGTCGTCGTCTTCTTTGGCTGTCAAACCAGAAGTATACAAGATAGTGCTGCCCAATCGGTATCATGAATTAAATCGTTAGAGTGGTGTTTCATTAGTGATATTAAAGTGATAAAATAAGTAATTATACCAGTGTTATTGTTGTGCAAAGTGAAACTACGGTGATTTGGTAAAAGTATTTATATTTCTACCTTCTTAGCTCGATAAAACAATGTACAGCTAACACACGTGAAATTTATGTATGTAAAACGACCTTCCAACAAAGGATAATGTTACCCTACAGTGAGGGCAATGTTTTTCATATTAACTATAATTATAAAATATTATAGTGGTAGGGCCACGAGACAGCTTCCGCTGTTGCACGAATGGGCAGGCCCGTCCGAGTAAGTGCCACAACCTCGCAGAAGACCGGCGTAAATTGGATGTGTTACACTTCTGCTTTCCGTCTGGTGAGTGAGGTAGCCGGGACCCACGTTATTAAAAGGTGGCAACGAATCTGCAGCCCTGAAGTCATTTTGTTATTTTATTAGCACCCCGTGAAAAGTAAGGGTCAACATATAAGTATCGACCGTACATGGTGGGAAAATAATGTTACATGTGAAGATTAAAAATATTTATTCGACGTCGTTACATCGAATTTTCCATCAGGACGTCACTCGTGACGTAATCCGATCATCGTGACGAATGTGTCATCGCTAATGCGGAAGAGGGGTACGATGCTGTCAACGCCAAAATAATGATGAGCGCACACATAGAATACACAATAAAGGTTTTTTTTTGAAATATAATTATGATAATTTCCTTTTATTGCCAGTCTCCGCACACAATTAACAGGAACTAAAGGCGCTGTATGGGGGCCGTACGTTTTTCAAAAAAAAAGTAAAGTATTAGCCTATACATTTCCCACTGTTGGGCAAAGGCCTTCTCTGTATAGAGGGTATCAGGGCATAGTCCACCACGCGGCCCCACTGCGGATTGGCGGACATCACATATCTACGAAATATTTTTTTTGTTATAATTTCGAAAATATGCAGGTTTCCTCAAGATGTTTTCCTTCACTGTTGAGCACGAGATAAGTGACGGCACTCAAAATTAACAATTTTATTGGTTTCGGCACCGGGATCGAACTCAGGTTGCTCAAGTAAATTGAATTAAAGGCGAGCGCCCGGACACTGAGCTATCACGGCTCTTTCAAAGTTTTTCGAAGCTAAATAAATTTATAAGTACACTAAATCTACAGTCATCGCCAGCCGGATATTGAAACATTTTACTCTACCGATATTAATTTCATTGAGTTTTGTTCATTTATGATTAACATTTTCGCCTTTGATTTTCACTTCTGAATGTTGTTTCATGATTTTTTTTATCGGTAAAATTTATCGAGAACACGTTTTGAAAACATTTGCCCATAAAGACCTGAGATCAAGATTAACATACATTTACTTGCTGCTGTAAAATGTTTAAAAAGAAGTTTTTGACAAAGTTTTCTATTTTTTTTATTTTCACTAAAAGCGGCGTCATAAAGTTCCATGAAACAGTTGACAATTATTTAAACCAACTTTCCATAATTGCACATTTTTTTACAAGTTTTATTTTTTAATTTCAAATTGCTTATTTTTATAGATAAATGGACTAAAACTTTCGGAGCTGCGGATCAAAACTGAATGTGAAGGATAAAATTAAAACGCTCAATTTATGTTAAATTTATATTGGAAAGTGATTATTAAATTGTGGTATACTAACCGACACCTGTGCTTTCTGAACGGCTAATTTCTACTATGCTAACAATATACTAGACTTTATTATGAATCCTTGCGATGCAATTTGCCTTTATTATTTCATATAACTTTATGACGTATTTAAGAATTTGTGAGAAGTATTATTTGTAAATGTGTAATTTTCTAGATAACGGGCAAAAACTATCAGCGTTGCGTCATTCGTAAAGTGAGTATCACTAAAATTCCGGGACCGAAACAAGATTTGAAAGAATTATTCTCTGCAGAGGATCTTTCAGTTTCCAATACACGAACAAACTGCTACTTAAACTTGCTACATCAATAATGAAAAACGCCAAGATTGCGTTAATAAACCTCCCGCATCAATTCTCAATGGCATTTTCGAACAGTATGACGCCTGTCTTGTTATCTCACCTGGTCAAGATCTCAGTTCATAAAATTTTTGCCAGCTTGTCAAAGTCAAAAGAATTATGGTATGTTTAGAGAAAACCAATAGATTCTTATATTAAAATGTTACTCAATGTATTGTCTATATTGAAGTATTATAAATCACCAATCATGGATTTCTTCTAAATTTTACGCATGGTGGGACGAAGTTATTTGAATAATATGTAAAAAAAATTGTTTTATTGTATTAAGTTTAAATAATTACGAAATACTTATTCCGTATAATATCCCACAAATAAGTTCTCCAACTATGTATGACGTCATCTCGCCTAAGCGATTTTGAAGCAGGTTAATATGTACACGGAATGTTTCTGGGGTAAGTTTCAAACTTACTCAAAGGAATTCCTCTCAAGTGCTCTTACACATTTTGGGTACAGTATTTTGGGTAGTATACAACAGGTTACTTTTAATTTGTCAAATTCGTACACCATAAGTAAGATGCACGATCACTCAACACTGTAATCTGACGTTGTATCCTGGGTGATGGTGGATTAATATACATGATATTTTTGTCTTTTGGAAACATTTAACTGGTTTGGATTTAATCGTTTAAGACATAAGGTAGTTTCATTATGATTTTATTAAGTGCAATGCTGTAAACGTTAATAGCCTGGGATATTATTTTAAGCTTTTTAATTAGCTTACAATTGCCTGCAATAGGCAAGCTAATTAAAAAGCTTAAGAAAAGACGAATACCATCGTTTTCACTATTTAAACATCCTAATTAAACTATTTTTTATTATTAAACAGCCCAATTTTCAAAAGGTTGTCAACGCATCTGTAACCCTCGGGTGTAGCAGATGTCCATGGGCGGCGGTATTCACTTACCTTAAATATCTTTGAAAAAGATAAGAGAATTTAAATGTAGCATTAATTTTTCTCGCAATACAAAGCTTTGGTAGCACCTAAATTAACCAACATAAGTAGCCCCTGTTTTGACAGTTAACCCTTCAATTTATTCCAGATTCATCGTTTCTATAACATCGATACATGTATTCGTCACATCTGCAATCAGGAATGTAGTTTCAATTAACGGTAAAATGTAAGATTATCTTGAGTAAGTTTATTGGTGAAATATTTGTGAATTAATTAGGGCGAGCGAAGCGAGACCTA